CAAGAAGTCACGAGAGGTGGTTAGTGAGAGCCCGACTTCCCTGAATGATAATACATGTGAATCCAACCTGGAACGTACCACGCAAGAACGCGCGCGGCGAATCTCGGCGGTCCGACGTACGACGGACAACGAGTTTGCACGTGAACCACCCCTGGACGAGATCGACTTGCAACCAGGAGAGCGACGCTGATACTGGAAACATTACGCGCCGCACAAGTGGTACAAGCAGGCCAAGATTCATGGAAAGCTGAACAACCGCCGTGCTGTGTTATTGCTCGACACAGGTGCCGAGGTGTCCATCCTGGACACCACATTTGCTCGTGAGGTAGGCTGCCTGATTGACACGGAGATCACGCAAGAGTGTGTGGGAATTTGTGATGAGACATATTACACGGTGGGGAGAACCAGAGTCAAGATTACCTTGGCTGAGAACTTGGTGTACTACATGCACCTGTGGGTCGGCGACTTGGTCGGCCAACACGCAATCCTGGGAATGAACTTCATGGTGCCCGCTGGAGTGCGCATCGACACTGCGGACGGCACGGCGTGCCTCCCCGACGAGGTGCATATCCGGATGATCGGACGACGACCGCTATACGGCGCACGGATGCACCCGGTCAACGTCAAGACGCCTGTGAGGCTCGAACCAGCAGACACGCATGAAGTGTTGCTGAGGCCGGATCGAAACGCGCCGTTCCTGTGGGTGAAACGGGCAGAGTCGTGGGTGACTACCTTTGTCAAGGGGAGAGTCAGAAAGAAAACGTACCTGCGTGTCACGAACATCGGAGACGCAGCGATAACCCTCGACGCGCATGAAACGCTTGGGTGGTGGACGCCGTCTGACGGCCAGCCTCGGAACCGTGGATTCGTCCGACTGGTCTCCACCCGGTACCAGCAGTGGCAGAATCTGGCGTACGGCGCGACGCGGAGGAGAACTGGATCCCAGCCGAGCTCGACGGACCGATGACGGATCGCCCCTCATACCCGACGCCTAAAGCCATCTTGCGCCCGGAGCCGAGACACCTCGGGACGCGACGCGCCGTGACCCCAGTGTTGGCGGCTGTCGCGGAAGCGCCGAAGGGAAGGGGGTAGTCTTGCCACCCGGCGACCACAAGCCGGATACGGACGAGGATGCGGTGGAAAGCAAACCCGATATGCCTCCGACTGTGGCTGGAAGCGCGGCGATGGAAGAATCGCCGGAGTCGGAACTCGACGAGCCAAAACTCGACGGACCAAACCCCGCCGAGCCGAATTTCGACGAGGCGAAACCTGATGAGCAGGAGGAAGACGACGCGGTTCTCATCCACGAGGGGTCCGACCTCTTCGTAGAGGATCTCGAGTCTGAGATGGCAGTGCTGCCAGACCTCTCGCTGACCGCCGAGGTGAAGATCGAGGACTTGAAGGTCGGTATGCCGACTGGACTCCCGCACGAGGAAGCCGCGAGACAAGAAACGCGGCTACGCCAAATCATCTGGCAACGGCGGAAGTGGTTGATCGGCAAAGGCAACGCCTTGCCGCCGGCCGCCCTGGGTGTTGTCTGCGACATCGACGTGGGCGAAGAAAAACCCGTCGCGCAACGCGTCCGGAAAATCCCGCCGAAGTTTCGAGAGAAGGTCGCCGACTTGATCAAAGGGCTGCTGAGCGCGAGGATGATCCAGAAGTCGAAGTCGCCGTGGGCGTCGCCCATTGTCGTGATCATAAATAAGAACGGCGTCGATATCCGGCTTTGCATTGACTACAGGCTCATCAACGGGCTGACACAGTTGATGATTTACCCCATGCCGCTCGTCAACGATTTGCTCGAAGACTTGGACAAGTATCTGTGGTACTGCTCCCTCGACATGATGAGCGGCTTCTGGGTCGTCCCCATGACAGACCGGGCCCGGCTCATCTTAGCCTTCATCACGCCGATGGGACTGTACGAATGATTGCATATGCCGTTTGGCCTGTGCAACGCGCCGCAGATTTACCAACGCTTGATCGACAACGCGCTCTACGGGTTCATGAACCTGTCCCCGGATGGCAGCACTCGGGACGTCTTTGAAGACGGCGAACCGGTGAAGCCAGGTATTCACTTCATTCTGGGACGGAGGTCGTACATCGACGACATCCTCATCGGGGGCACGTCATGGGACGACCTGTGCGAGAAAGTCGAACGCTTGCTGGATGTCAGCGAGCAGTGGCATTTGTCCATCAGTGTCGAGAAGAGCGAGTGGGGCATGTCCAAGGTCGACTACCTGGGCCACCGAGTCTCAGGACTCGGTCTCGAGGCGAAGCCGAAGAATCTGGAGTCGCTGACGTCGCTCGAATTCCCGCGCACGCTCAAGGGCCTGCAATCGTTCTTGGGTAGCCTCAATTACTACCACCGGTTCATTGCAGACTTTGCGGTGTATGCAACCGCGCTGTATTCGCTGACGGAGACCGACTTCAACGAGTACGTCACGCGCCCAGAAGTCCGCGGGCATGAGAAGTGGACGCATGCGACGCGCCCCTTCGACGCGCTCAAGGCAAAACTTGCCGAGACCCCAATGTTGAACACTTCGACGCGAACCGAAAATCCGTCGTGACCGTGTACGCCAGCGACTGGGCCATCTCAGGGGTGCTCACGCAGGTCCACGACGAAGTATACATGCCTGTGAAGTTCACCAGTCGTACGTTGAAGCCCAACGAGCTGAACTACGACATCGTCGAAAAGGAGATCTTGGCCTTGTTGCGCGTCTTAAACGAGTGCTACACGATGCTAGCAGGTAGACCAGTCCGCATCTTGACACGTCACACGACACTCGCCTGGTTGTTCCGGTCCAAAGGACTACAGGGGCGACTGCCATAGTGGGCCGCGATCCTCTCGCCGTGGAAGTTGGAAATCTGCCGATCCATGAAGGGAGAAGAAGAACTCCTCGGCGCGCTGGCTGCGAGCATTACCCCCGCGAGCCTTCGTCGACGCGGCGCTAGAAGAGATCGCCCCACGGAGACGGGCGTCCAGGATTGTAGTCATTCCAGTCCCTGACGTGGCGCGCGACGAGGTCTTGCACGTTTTGAGCTTTGATGATCGGCCAAGGCGAAGCGAGGAGACGGAGCATACAGTGCCGTCATTTGGCAGCCGCCGAACTGGGAGATCGTGCGCGCCGCGTCGGGATATGCGACGGACCTCACGGTCAACGAGGCGGAATACCGCGGGCTGCTGCTCGGATGTTCTCTTCTAGAGGGACTCGACGACGTCACCCGACTCGGCGTATGCGGAGACTCCAACCTTGTCTCTGGCAGATGCGGGTCGAGATGGACTGCAAGTTCCCGGGGCTGAAGCCGCTGCGACAAAAGACGCGAAACGCACTCCAGGCATGGCTGCGCCATAAACTCTTCCACGTACGACGAGACTGGAACGCGAATGCCGACATGCTGGCTGGACAAGATCTGCAGCCTGAAGGAGGCCGCAACGCTCACAGCCCCGAAGAGATTCAAGATCTGAAGACGCTGAATCGCTTGGGAGAAGTCATTCGACCACTGGCATCGAGTCCCGAGATGGAGTCTCCAGCCAGTCCCGACGCGGATAATCTCGACGCGAAAACACGCGGCGCAGATGACCCCGTCGGAAGGCCATGGACGCGGGACGCGGGACAGCAGAAGTCCTCGCTGTGACGACTCGCTCGGCTGCCGCACGCACGACAACACGTAGGGTCCAACCTCCAGAAGTCCTGGAGGAGCTGGTGGTGCAACGACTGCGCCTGGACCGCATCCGCGTCGCCCAGGACGAAGAGGTCTGGATCGTCAACCTCAAGAAGTATCTCCGCGGCGACGTCGGAGACCTATCTCGGCGCGAGGTGAAGAACTGCCAAAAGCTTGCGTTTCAGTACGAAGATGGCGAAGGCGGGCTGCTCTACTACCAGCCGAGAAGCGACGATTCCGCCGAGGATCGCGATGTGATGATGAAGCTGGTGATCCCGGAGACTCTTCGGGAAGATGTACTCCACCACTATCACGCGAGCTTGGAAGGCGGACACCAGGGTATTGGCCGCACATACCAACGCGTGAGGCACCACTTCCATTGGCCAGGGATCTTTAGAAGCGTCCAGCGCTACGTCGGCGAATGCACCGACTGCGAGACGGGAAAGGGTCGGCCGACCATCCAGGGCGAGTCGCCGGGCAACATCGTCGCGACGTACCAATTCCAGGTCATTGCCATGGACCATATTCCGTCGTTGCCGGCATCCTACAAAGGCAACACAGAGCTGTTAGTCTGGCGCGTTCGCAGTGCGCCTCGAGACGACGGGTACGCCCTATCAGCTGTACCCCGTCGTCCACATCTCCAAGCTGAAGCCCGTCCGGGAATTCCCGTCGCGACCCACGACGCAGCTGACGGTGCCGGCCGAGGAGCGCTTCGACTTCGACGAGGAACTCTTGCCGGAGGACAGCTGGGAAGCCACGCGCGAGCTAGAGGACGACGTCTTCGAGGTCGAGAAGATCGTGAACGTGCGCGAGGGGCGGGCTACCCCGTATGGACGCACGCGACGCCAGTTCGAATTCAAATGGAAGGGCTACCCGGACATGACGTGGGTCGACGAGGTCGATCTGAATTGCGGCGGGTTGCTGTACGACTTCCTGCGCCAGCGCACGGGACGCAACCGGTTCGAGGCGATGCAGTCGCACGAGAACGCGGAGGCGGCGGAGCCTGGTGGGTGAACGCCCACGTGTGCGACTAAGTCGGTAGGGGGGCTGCCGACGGGAGGACTGGTGGGAAGCCTCAACTCTAGGAATGGCCGGAGCGAGGGATTGGATGAGGGAAGTGAGGAGGACCAGCCGGTTGCTGAAGATGGGACGGCGGAGGGCCGTCTCATAAAAGATGTGGAGAAGTGGAAAGAAACAAGGGAAAAGATCAAGGCTACGTGTTGAAGTTACGGCTACAACAACTAAACGCGACGGACTGCGACGATGGGCCAAGACTCAAACCTGCTGGACAAACTTACCTGCAAGACGCGGCACATGGAAGGCGGGGTGATCGCGCGTCACTCGACAGCGTACGTTGGCGTCCATCTCGGCCACAGTGAGCGGCGTCCGATAGAACGGCGCCAGGGCTCCTGCGCGTCGATGTCGTTGAGCGCGGCTTGCAACGTCGCGTGCTGGAGGCCTGGATACCACCGTCCGATCGACATGTGCGCGGGCGGAAAGTGAAGCACCATTGGGTCCAGCAAGAGGTCCACGTCTGCGAGCCCTTGCTGGAACAGCCCGACCACCAGTGGCAACAGGCTGTTGAGGTGGTTGCCCGCGTGTGAGCGACGCGAGTTGCGCGCCGTGCGCCACCTTTTCCACGCCGCACCCTGCACGGAGAGTTCATGTGTGGACTCCCAGTACGCCTGAGCCCAGTGCTCGATGTGGTGCCGGAGCCGACGTAGGAATGGGCGGAACGGCGCGTCGCCGGACGCGAAGAGAAGCGCCTCAGCGGCTTGAGCGAGGTACCGCCATGGCCGAGTCGCCTGCAGCGCGTCGACGTTGGCCAGAGTCACGAGGGCGCGGTTCCAGTTTGCAGGCGCGGGGGGAACACGGCGCGGAATGATCCAGCCGGGCGGCGGCAGAAAGAGCGTTTGCAATTCCTGTACGGTAATGAGATGAAGGCGGAGACGTCGTACCCGCTTGGGCCAAGGAGCGTAGCGAGGCTGCCGCCAGCCAGACGGAGTTCCGGCAGGCGGAATCACAGGGTCGAAGAAGGGCGCCGCCGGTGCACTCCCCGCCGAGCCGCTGGAGGCGGTGCTCGAGGACGAGGCGCGGGACGACGAGGAAGCGGACGCGTCGTCGCCACTGGAGTCGCCCGAATCGCCCGGACCAGGGCCTGGTCCAGCTCCGGCTGCCGCTCGGCTCCTCGGCGAGGAGTGCGTCAGCCGTGCAGGAGAAGAGTGACGCGAGGCCACCGATGCGCCGAACGCGTTGAGCCGGCCTAACGCGTCGACGCCAAGGAGGGCGAGCGTGGAGGCGAGTGCGAACGCGAACGAGAGGCCGAGCGTGAACGCGAACGCGAAGCAGAACGGGAACGCGGGGGTGTCTGGGAACGTGACGGCGAACGTGGTAGCGGACGGGCCGGCGACCGTGAGCGAGACCCGGGGCTATGCAGCCGACGGCGCTTGGGCTGAGCTCGCCGCGCTTGGTCCTCGCTGTCCGAAGACTCGGAGCCGAAGAGCGACGCGTCCTCTCGTGCGCGCGCTGCAGCTGCAGCGGCCGCAGAGGGCGTAGCTGCAGATGAGGCCTGCGCAGCGGCGTTGTCGGAAGCCGCAGTGTCAGCCACGGTAGAGGGCCGCCGACTACGTCGAAGGGGCGAAGAACCAGATGACGTAGCGGAAGCCACTCCTGACGGCCTAGACGTGCGTGACTGAGAACCCGAACGACTCGACGCGCCGTGTCGAGGTCGCTGAAAACCCGACGAGGACGAGACAGCGGACGAAGTCGGAACAGGACGGGAGCCCGAAGGACCTGCTGGAGGGCAAGCGCCAGTCGTCGAGCCCGCCGTCGAAGCAGACGAGCCCGCCCGGGCACCAGAGCTCGACGCAGTTGAAGCAAGAACAGGAACCGCGGATGCTGCAGGAACTGCTGCGGACGTAGGAATAGCAGGGGGGAGCGGGATGCACCGTCGATCTCCGCCGTGAAAGTGGCTTCGAGTCGCCTGACCAGGTCAGAGGTGTCGATCTGCCCGCCTACACGCGTTACGACGCCGGCGAGACGATTGGCAAGCTCGTCGCGCACCCGCCGCGCCAGCTCTCGGCCCCGACGCGCGTCTCGAAGCATCCGACGCCAAGCCACAGTGTATTCGTCGAGCTCTCGGATGGTTAAGTCGCGCTCCTCCTCCAGCTCGGCGACGTAAGCGCTGAGACGATGGGTCTGGGCGCCGACCGCTCCTCGACGCTGCTGAGACGACCGCCGAATGGACAGCCACCCAGCTCGATACTGCATCGCGCGAGATGTGGCGCAAAGTTCGCCGGCTTGACCCCGCGCCATCTCGGACTCAGCGCCCACACGGAGAGTCGTAGCAGTAGCCACTGACTCCTCCAGTTCGTGGATACGCGTCGCGCCGCGGCGGAGCTCCTCGACGTGGGCCACTAAGAGCGCGTTGACGCGCCGAAGGCAGTCCTGCAGCGGGACGTTCAGGTTCTGGGCCGCCTCGATCACCATGCGGCTCTGAGAAAGCGACGCACGGGCCACGCGGAGCTCTTCGTCGACTGGGGCGCGCTGCTGCTCCAGAGCGGTCAAGGCCTGACGAGCCTGATCTCTCTCGGCGACGGCAGCGTCTCGCCGCTGCTCAAGGGCGGCCACGGCTTGACGTGCCTGGTCCCTCTCGGCGACAGCAGCGTCTCGCTCGCGTCTCAGGGCCGTGGAGGCTCGACGCACTTGATCCCGCATGTCGAGGGCCCCGTCACGCTCTTGCTCGACGACCACGAGAACGCGGGTAACGCGGTCACGCTCGGCGAGAGTGGCGTCGCGGTGCTGCTCGGCAGTGGCCACGAGCTGTTGCATGTGATCTCGTTCAGCTTCGGCAGCGGCCACGCGCGCTTGGACAGGAGCGCGCGCGAGTTGGGCGGTCAAGTCAGTGACCTGGTCTCGTGCCGCCCGGAGCTGAGTTTGAAGATCACGATATTGCTCTGTCGAGGAGCCTCGCTCGGCGCGGAGTAGAGCCTCGGCAGAGTCGGCCACTCGGTCCTCCAGGACGGCGTAGTCCCGCTCGGCGTGCTCCCAGGAGAGGAGCGCCTGCTCGAGCCGGATCATGCCTGCGCGATAACCCTCGCGAGCACGATGCAAGATCGCGAAATTGGGGTCATGCAGCACGGACGCGTGAGTAGCCAAACCCGCATTGTGCGCTGAGACGAGTTCGTACTGGGCGCGCAGCTCCTAGTTCTCGCGCTGGAGAGTGTGCGTATCGGCGACAAGAGCAGTCACCGAGTGGACGGGGGAGCCTGAAGCCGGAAGCTGGACTTGGGGCGCGACGGGCAGGCGAGGACGATGCGCGCCGAGGGCACAAACCGCGCAGTCAGCGGCCTCGAGGTCGTCGGTGTCAAGCTCTTCTTCCTCCAGGTCGATGTCGTTGACGTCGACGTCGTGGAGGCGAGCCATGAAGCTTGGAGTACCGCGAAGCGGGCTGCGAGGGCAGAAAACGCGATGGTGTCGAGACGAAGCGAAGGCGCGGGGCAGGTTCTGCGACGACACACCCACCTGGGGAGTGCGCGTGCGTGGCGGGACGAATGTGGTGTAGTACCCCGCGGAAGAAGTGGGCGCGCCGGGCGAAGGAGGAATAAGGCACCGGGACGCGAGTGATGGACTTCGACGCGGCTGATGGAACGCGACGCGGATTGATGGGCGCGACGCAGGGCCGAGCTCGACGGGAAAGTCGGCGTGGGTGATGGGCCGTGAGGCACGGTGCCAGAATCCAGTGCGACGCGTAATCATCCGACGGGTCGACCAGCGCACCCGGTTCTGCAAACGCGCCGACCCTAAACCCCGCCGAGCAAAACGCGCCGAGACGCGCCGACCCTAACCCCCGCCGACCAAAACGCGCCGAGGTAAGATCTTGATTGCGCCACGCAAACCAGGTTGAAGGACGGCAGTGCAAGCACGACAGAAGTAGGGATAGGCCCAGAGCGGTAGGCTTAGCAAGCAGTAGTACAAAGTAGCCAGTAACAAGGACATAGGATAGGGTAAGGACTCAGTCCCGAAATTTCTCTGAACCACAAAGACCTCCCGTCTTCTCCGAGGTTCCAGGGGAACCACCAAGCGCCGGTAAGTAGAGCCGCCTCGATATCGCGGCCCCCCGTCGTTTGCTGGTTCGGGTGCTCACCCCCCACAGACCCGTGCTGGAACAAAGGCACGTTAAACGTATACCGTTTAGGTGGGCGCCCGATAACGCGCTGCCTAGGCGAAGGACCGCACTGGCCTGATAACCACTGTACACATGACCCCCCGTGTAGGCCCGATAACGCCACACAAACGCCGAGGAAGCGCCGGCCCGATAACGCCGCACGCCCAAGGCTCGACGCCCTACGACAAGGAACAAGCGTCAACACAAGAACCCCCAACTCCGAAGCCTGCGAAGACTTCGGCCTGTATTTCGAAGATACGCTACTCCAACAACCGGGAATAATTCGCTCGGCGCGACCGCTATCCAGACGCGCCGAGTTTGTGTGAGATTGCAATCGCGAGATTTCTGCGAGGGCGCTACTACACATTACCCTCGTCTTTCGCCATACCACCGATTCCAGCCACCGTCGGACCGCAGAACGCACCTCACCGGGCGAGGCGGCGAGCCGCGGTGGCGCGGCACTGGCGGTTCGGCCGACCAAGTCACCACCGACACCTCCATGCAGCCCCCCAAAGCTCCCGGGAGCACCATTGCCAACGGACGCGAATTACCCTCGACGCTCGCCATACCACCACCCTCGGACCGCAGAACGCACCTCACCAGGCGAGGCGGCGAGCCGCGGTGGCACGGCACGGGAGGTCAAGCGGTGTGTGGGCTCCTATATGTAGTAAAATGCAGTAAAATAAAGGAGGGGGGTCATCAACCTTAGCGAGCGCGGCGTATTCCTCGCTGAAGTCACAGGCGTCTATTCGTATAAGTGTTGGCGAGGAACAGGAGGGAATTAGTGTGCTGTCTCGTGAGCTTTTGACCACCCAGAAGCAGAGCTTTTTCGACGGACAAGATCAATGGTGCTAGCGCTCACCTATAGAAACCGTGTGCACGCATTGGTTGGTATTTCATATCTACGGGTACCGCGTTTTGTGAGGACACCACACTGGCCTAGGTAGCGAGGCGAGCGACGTTCAGGCACCGTTTGCCATCATTTCTGTTGCAGAAGAACTTGCAAAAGTAAGTTACTATAGAACTGCAAAAGAAATGCCCTCGTACTAGGTAGTCACTAAATCAAGAACTACTATAATTCGGGGTGCTTATCGAGGGTTGAAGTTGAAGCTAATAAGCCAATCAGCATTGGCTCAATCCAAAGGTCACACGAAGTGGTATCAGCCTGGCTTCAGCCATCAAGCTTCGCGCAACACACAGCTTTTCGCGCGCTTTTCCAACTTGCGCTTTGAGTTCGCGCAACACGCAGATTTTCGCCCGTGGGTTCGCTCCGGTATCTACGCCAATCAGCGCCCCCATCGTTTGAATTTGCGACGTGTAATTGGCCAGCCATTTCGTGGCCAATCACGCTCGCGCTGCGATCGGTGCCAGAAGATCGTTTCCGCGCGCTCAATCCCAAACCTCATTTCCGAAATCGCCAGCTACTGCTCCAGCGCGCTTCCCCAACTATGCCGTCGCCCGGCTCGCATCGACCGTCGCCGCCAAGGCCGCCACCAAGCTCGCCATGCTGCTGATCCTTACTCTGGCCGCCGCTATGCTCACCGTGCTGCTGTCGCCCATGCCGACTGCCGCCATGCTCGTCGTGCTGCTCTCGCTGTGCCGGCCGACCCATGCTCGTCATGCTGCTCTCACTGTCCCCGCTACCGCAACCCTCGCCGTGACGCTGTGGCCGGGCTCGCCGAAATGCCGGCAGACGGTCGCCCACGCCGCTGACATCGTCCAGGAGCGCAACTGGTCCGGCCAAGATGTCGATGTTGACTATCCCAGGTCAATGTTGACTTATGTTATGTGTGTTCACACATGGTCGGTGATATGGTGTGGTCAACTTCAGAAGCAGCGGAATCTTGGAGGTTCGACGACATCCGACGTGTGAGAAATGGAGTTCAAAGCCCGAATCGTTGACGACTACCGGGTGTATTGGGAGGACTGCCGCACGTATATGCAGTACCCGCCTCGGCTCTTCGTGATCATGAGAGGCCTCCCTGGCAGTGGCAAGACAACGTTTGCTCAAGTGGTCGCTCGTTATGCAGCAACGTTTGATTTCCGCGCATCGATTTGCTCAGCTGACCTCTTCTTCCAGCGCGGAGGATCCTATGTGTTCGGCGCAAGTCGGCTTTGGGAGGCGCATCGAAGCTGCTACGAACAATGCAGAGAACTCCTGTGGCGCAGCCCCGACCGTGGCGTGGATATCGTTATCGTCGACAACTGCAACCTTCGGATAGATGATTTTGAGCGCTATCAGGATCTGCACATTCCCTCGGACAAGCTTGCGGTTGCTGCGGTCGAATACCCCCTGGCATAGCGGAAGCAACACAGCTCTTGGAACGAGCTAATCGTGTTGGTCACGCTATCCCTGGTCGCACTTTCGTGGAGTACTTCAACATCTGGAGACACAACTCCCCGGAGGAGCCGCGCCCCGACAACGAGGTGGACACCGTCGATGAGCTGCACATCGATAACGAGCTGACAACCGTCAATATGCCGCGCGCCTACATCATCACGCTGGATGAGTTTATGCGTGATCGCTAATGTGCTCCGGCAATGCCGAAGAGGTGACTGGTAGCTTCAGTAAATCTCTAATGTGACGTATCCACTCTTGTGTTGGCGCTTATCTCGCGCCAATGACGAGGAGCAAGAAAGCTACAAAGGCGACGGACAAGCCAGCGACAAAGCGGACGAGCGCACCCACTGACAAGTCAGCAAACGCTGCCAAGACCACGCCTGCCACCGGCAATGCCAAGCAGAAGCGGAAGAAGGGGGAGGGGCTAGACACTTCGCCAAGCCCCCGTAAGCAGAGGAAGACTGCCAAGAAGACTGGCGAAGGATCCAACGGGACGACGCGCGAGTTGGGCGCCGCGAGTGCATCGGAGGACGAGGCGACGACTCGCGATGAAGAGACGACTCCCCTGGTACCCAAGCACGCGCTCCAGTCCACGTGCTTGGCTCTACAAAAGAAGATCGCAGACGAAAAGGGCGAGCACCGGCAAGGCCCACGGCGCAAGGCAGGTGATAACTACAAGATGGCAGACTACCAGAAGCGTGTGTGGGCGGAGAAATACACAGCCGCTAGGAACAGCGACAACGACTTGGGCTACGAGGCTTTGAGCAAGTTGACTCAATTCAAGGCGTTCAAAAACAAACCAGAAGATCTCCAGCGTCACGAGCCCGCGCTGCTGAAAGAGGTCTACGAGATTTACTTAGCGGACCAAGCCCCGAAAGCAGACGCACACGCGCAGACCGCTGGTTCGGGTTCGTCGAAGCTATCGCAACGTGGCGGAGCCGAGCACCTGGCGATCGAGCAATGCGACATCCTGGCGGCTCAGCAGCCTACCGCAGCCAGAAACCAAGCATCGCTAGCGTCAGACCAAGCTCCAGGGCCTTCAATCTCGCAGACACCCGTGGCCGTGCAGGAGGAAGGTGCCCCAGCTCAGAGCCTGCAAACCCACCCTTTGCGAGGGGAGTATGCGAGTTTTGAACTCTCTATTTCGCAAGCACTGCAGCAGTTCCGAGAGAAGCTAGAGGAGGAGCAAGCGCGCTCAAGGAAATTAGAGGAGCAGTTAGCAGCCGCTGAAAACGAGCTGACCGAACTCAGGGATTTTGATCTCCCAGACAACGATATAACTATCGCGTTGACGAACGAGTTGCGGAACTCGATTTTTACAACTAGCCGAGGAGAAGGCGATTTCAAGTGGCTTGCGCAACAAACTTGCCCATGTGGAAACTGAGTTGAATTTGTCGAAGCAATCCGTCACCACGCACGCAGACAATCTACTTAAGACGCAGGCTAGCCATGCTAAGAAACTCCAGGATGTGCACGAAGACATGAACAACCTCACGAGAGAGGTGGACGAGCGCAAGAAAAAACTGGAGGACCGGGAGAACGAGGTGACTACGCGAGAGAAGAATATGGAGAACAAGGAGGAAGAACTACAAATCAAAGCCGAGGAGCTGCAATCTCATGGGGCCAAGGTCAAAGAGGAGGGCCGGCGTCTCCAGAACGTAACGCATCGCCTGCAACGGGAGCGGGAGCAGTTGGACGCGGATAAAAAGAAACGAGAGAAGCCGAGTCGAGAGAAGCAACAAGGAGACCGAATATCGCTGAGGCAGGCGAAGATTTTAAATGAAATGGAGCGCCAGACCCGGCTCCTGGAAGAGCGGTTCAAGAACAACGGGTGCCCAGCTGCGTTTGAAGAGCTCGAAGCCAACCGCAACCGGATCGAGGAAGAGAGGGCGGCGATGCAAGCAGAACGGGATGGAGTGAGAACGCAGTTGGAATTGATGAAGGCTGCGCTAGAGGCGGTGAAAACGGAGAACAGCGGATTGCAAGACACCATCGCGAGACGAGAGCTGCAGCTGCATACGTACAAGTATAGCGCGGTGACCAAGGAAGCTATCGATGAGTTCACAGAATGGAACGCCGAGATCCGAAATGGTATGCCGCTTGAGTTTCTGCTTCAGTATGGTTTGACATTGTATTGACTTCCATTGTCTCTGGATTGAAAAAAATGTAGGTAACACGAGCACAATGCAGAAGAAGCGCGACTTCATTCTGGGCAAAATGAAGGAGGCGTTTGGATCGAAGACGGCAGACGCTGAAGAGTTCAAGGCGCTTGCGGTCGAGTTCTGGAAGAAAGAAATGAGTTGGTCCACGACAAGACAGGTACCGTCATTCACTCGATGGACCACGGCAGATACGCGTGTGTATGCGCGAAGATTATGGAAGCATTGGCTGCGTTTGAGAGAGCCATCCTGCTGTAGTTGTGTGTGTTGCTGCGTAACGATGAATGAATACACATTTCCAAGTCACCGATGACTTAGAGCGAGTCAACTGTGACTCGAATACGCTTGTTTTATTGATCGTGAAGTCAACATGGACTTAAACCAAGTCGACATTGACTCAAACGTACTAGTAATAGCAATGTCAACGTCGACTCTGAACGAGTCTACATTGACTCGGTCGACAGCGACCCAACGTTGACTTACAAATCCAAAAAAATAAAATCGGTTTCAGTATGAACCCCCAAAGGGTCGTTTTACTTGGGTTTGTATAGACAGTATCCGAAGCGAAAAATGGCTGACTTTTCAGACGAAGAGGATCGCCAACTCGTTCAGCTCGCGGCGGTGTACGAGCAAGCGGGAAGACGAATCAACTGGGTGTCAGTGGAGAAAGACATGAGGCCGTCTGTAATGGGCCTACTTTGGCTCACTACTTTAGCTTACACGTGTGCGCGTGTATGTGAGGAAGCGAGCTTTGTTTAAATTAGAGTTAATTATACTCGGGCCTCCGAGTATAGATTAATCTTAATAAACGATCCAAATAATGTTTTTGGGTTAAAAATGAGAACTGCTATTTTTGTTTTATGTTTCTGACTTCCTCTAAATGTAATATTCTAAGATAGGAATCTGCCGCGGCTGGTTAGCAGAATTCCAATGTTATGCATGTCGCTCATTGGCTAAGAGATGCTGCTCTCAGCCAATAGGAATCCTAAGTCTCTATGGACCACCCGTCGTGGTGGTCGTAAATGTATGTAGCATTTGGTGTATCTACACAAAGGTTGAGGAAGTCTTTCGAACCTCTAACAGACATCGTGTCTGCTAGAGTAACAAGTGACTGTATCCACTTGTGCGTGTAACCCCGTTACACCATCCCCCCGTCAAGGTTAGACGTGCCGGTCCCGACGCGTCAACTACTATTGACCGCTTGGTCAATGCGTGACGGGAGAGCGCGCGCTCGTAATGGAACGAGCGCGTCGAAGTTGAAGACCGCTGGCGCAACAGAGGGTAACCTCTCTGTTGCTCAGTACCATGAGCGCCAGCAGGCAAAGCGCGATGCGCTCGCTGCAAAGGCCGCGTCGGAGACAACCCAGTCGGAGATTATCCTCGAAGGTTCCTCTGTAGTCAACGACGCCGTTGACTACGAGAGTGACGACGTAGAGATGGAAGAGGGCGAGGCCTCTTCCAATAAGCGCAAGGAGGCTGGAGCAGCTCCACAGATCCTCTATGGACGCTGGTATTCCATGCGCTGTGCCCGAAGGCCATCAGTCCACGTTGTGTCTTCCGGATGCGGTGCGCTTGAGCGACCGCGACCTAAGCGGGTACACGACGATTCGTGTACCTGAGAGTCTCAAGGGTCTCCGTGCCAAGTACTTGGCGCGCGAGGACACGACGATTGTGGGACCTCGGGTGCTGTAGGTGACCACAGCGCTCGCACTATCTTCGCGTCGGCAGTGCGAGGTGAGCTTCGTACGCCCTCACCATTTCTGGAACGTCCTGCGGCAGGACGTCCCGTGGCTCCCATGTATCTTGGTGGGGCGGAAACCCTCTCCAACGAATACGATAACGAACCGGCTGTCGGTTCGTTTTCGGGATACTATGGTTCACAATACGCTCAACAATCCAGCGTGTTGAGCCGCGGGCGTCGCGGATCGGAGGTGGCGGTGGTGGGAACACGCCCCGGGTATGGTCAACCAGGGGTTGACCTTGGCCCGACGCTCGAAGAGCGGGTCGCTGCTGTGGAACAGCATCAGAGCCGGGAGTTCGCCGCTCTGATGCAGGAGGTGGCGATCCTGAGGGCTCAAGTCGCTCAGGCCTCGCAGACCGCGTCGGACATCTCTGTCAACGTGGGAGGTCGCGTCGCACGCTTGGCCCAGCGCGTTTACACGCTGGAGCAGAGGTTCGCTCCACCTGGGGCTTCCGGTTCGGGTCAGCCGAGCTAGGTGGCTCGTGCTGCAGGTATGGCTTCAGCCGCCCGACGTAAAAGGTCGGGTGGAGGCGCATGCTAGATGGAATATCTAGCGTGTAGGCGTTGCCATGCCGTGCCAACAACGTGAACGGCCCGATGAAGCGCGCAGCGAGCTTGCTCGCCCCGAAGTCGGAAACTGCATGTTTAGGCAGGTTTTGAGTTGCTAACAAAACTAATGAACCCTTCTTGAATTCATTAGTGTTGCCCCTACCAACATTGGCTGCGTTCAGCTTCTGTCGGTCGACAGAAGCTGCGACAGCGTCTTGGACAAACCGAATGACGGCTTGTCTGCGCTGCACGTAGTTGATCGCATCCGAGCTGAACTCGTTCAGCTCGTTTCTAGCAGTAGGCCCGGCCTCTGCGTTCGTCTTCGCGGTGTCTGCGCCCTGCACAGACCCGTTCTTCTTCTTATTATTGCTCTTGGCGACGTCTGTGCCCTGCACAGACGCGTTCTTCTTCCTATTATTGCGCGTAGTCGCGGCTGACACTGTGCAAGTGTCAGCGGCATTCTGCGTTGCAGTCGTAGATCCTCCCCCAATTAAGGAAGGAGCCACCATCCCGAGTAGACTCGGGAGGCGTGGGTGCCTGATGGCATTCACGTAGAACGGTGTATGCCCGGTCGAGGCATGCACCGAGTTGTTGATGGCGAACTCTGCCATTGGCAGGCACTCGCTCCAGTGTTAGAACGAGTGAGCGTAGCTCTTAAGCACGTCTACGAGCACACGGCTCACGCGCTCGGTCTGCCCGTCCGTCTGCGGATGATCCGCAGTCGACATCGAAAGTTGACTCCCAAGAAGTGTAAAGCGGTCAACAAAGACAACAACGCCCGTGTTCCCCTGGCTGTCCGGGGGAAGACCGAACACGAAGTCCAAGGACATGGACTGCCAACACTCCCGTGGAGTTGGTAGTGACTGCAAGGGAGCCTGCGCGAAAGGCGCAGGCTTCACACGTTGACAAACCTCGCAAGCATGGACATACTTGCGCACCCATTTATACTGGTGGGCCCAGTAGAAGTCTCGCGTGAGAAGAAGGTATGTCTTCTCGCGGCCCGGATGCCCCGCAGTCGGTGCATCGTGATACTCGTACATGACCCTGAGTCGCAGGTCATGGTCATTGGGCACGACAACGCGGTCCGCGTTGTCGTCGACTGCACTGTAGAGTAATAACCCGTCGTGCACCCGGTAACGGTGTGCACGAGCACGAAGATGCTTCGGCAGCTTCTGACGAGCTTTGTCAGAAGGCGCTGAGCCGTAGGCCAGCAAGAGCTTCGCGTCGTGCGCGTACGCGACCTTCACGTCGTCCAACAGTGACGACGTCGGGGTGCTCGATTGCATGGCGTCAATGGCATTGACGTCGGCATCAGTCGTGGCGTAGTCAGGTCGACGCGAGAGCGCGTCGGCCACCACATTGAGGCTTCCGGGTTTGTACTCAACCCGGAAGTTATACTCTGCGAAGAATGAGAGCCATCTCGCCATCCGTTGCGAAATGTGCGGCGACTTCACAGCCGTCCGCAACGACGCGTGGTCTGTATAGACCACGAACGGTTTGCTTCCGAGTAGATACACTCGGAACTTCGCGAGTGCGTACTTCATGGCAAGGAGTTCGTTGCCATGTACCGGGTAGTTGCGCTCAGCTGGCTTCAGCTGACGCGATTGGTAGTAGACGACACGATCACGACCCTCGTGATCGTGCTGCATCAACGCACATCCGATTGCGAAGTCGGATGCGTCACACACAACGTGGAATGGACGATCTTGGTCGGCCACCGCCAAGATTGGCGCCTTAATCAAGCCCCGCTTGACTGCATCGAAGGTCTGCTGACACTCAGCAGTCCAAACCCACTCGGCGTCCTTCTTCAGGAGCTGTGACAGCGGGCGTATCATGCCCGCGTAGTCCTTCACGTACTTGCACAAGTACGTGGCCAAGCCAAGGAACTGCCGCAGTTCCTTGACGTTCGACGGCGTCGGCCACTCATTGATCACTCTAACCTTCTCAGGGTCAGGGCGGACACCGTTCTTCCCGACGAGACACCCGAGCACGGGTATCTCGCTCGCCCCGAAGATGCACTTCTTCAGGTTCGCATAGAGCTTGGGCTTGCGCATGAGCGCAAGCAGCTTCCGGAGATGCACGTTGTGCATCTCAACATCGCTCATCCCGTCCCCAGCCCGGCTGTGGACGAACACATCGTCGAAGTAGCTCGGTGCGAAGTCGCGCACCGAGCGCAACAAGTGCGTCACGCACCTGTTGAAGGTTGCAGGGGCGTTCTTCAGACCCTGCGGCATCACTAGCCACTCCCAGAGAATGCCGCTCGGCGTACTCACAGCCGTGAGAGGGATATCGCTCTCACGCATGCGGATCTGATAGAATCCATCGCGCAGATCAAGAGCACTGGAGATAGTGCTCCTGGCCATCGAGTCGATGATGACATCTTTTCGCGGTATCGGTGTCTGTGCCGGTATCGTCGCATCGTTCAGCTTGTTGTACGCATGAGCGATGCGCCAGCCGCCCTGTGGCTTCTTGACACAGAACGTCGGAGCACTGTGCGGGGATTTCGATTCCCGCACTTGTCCAGTTTTGCGACGACTTTCGAAGAAGTCGTCGATCGCTTTGACCTGCTCTCGCGGCAGTGGCCACTGCCGCGTGACACAGTACTTCATGCCCGGCACGACATCAATCTCGTGCTGGATTCCCTTGTCCTCCGGAAGCTCCGCAGGAATCTCTTCCGGAAGTACGTCCGCGTACTCCCGTAAGATCTCGTAGCAGGGACTCGTTTTCAACGAGTCCCAGCTCTGCTCTTCAAAGCGCTCCTTCATCGACTTCGCACCGAGAGTGTCCTCGCTCTCAGTGGTGGTCTCCATGAAGAACTGCCTCAGTTCTTCATTCTCGCTCTTCGTTCTCTCGGCGTCCGAGAGAATGCATATTTGCTCGATGCGTCCATCGTGCAAGTCACGCGCGAAGTGCTTCCAGCTCATGACTGGAAGCGAAGTCAACTCCGACGCTTGCGTCGGAGCATTAGCGAGGGCATCTCCCTGTACCGGAACCCGGCACAGGAACGCGTCAAGACGTTCAACGTCTCGACGTCCGGCTTCTCAGCCTCCGTCTGCCCGGCAGACATTCCTTGTAGCGTCTCGGCCCCAGGCCGAGACTTGCGCAGCGACCTTCGCATGCTCCATCTTCTTGTTTTGCGGAGCCCGACTCCGCTTGGTTTTTGACCTCGTCCAGGCCCAGCCGTGGACGGGTGTTCTTCTTTAGTACCGCCGGCGGGTTCATCCCGCCGGCGAGCGACTTCAAGCCCGGCTTGGTCGCCCGGCGCTTCGTCGTGCAGCCGGGCTGCATGACAGCATGCAAGTTTTTCCGGTGCGGAACGATTGCAACCGTCCGCACCGCCTGCAGCGTCGGCTCCCGGAGCCGACACGCCATCTTCACCTCGACGCCTGTTATTGGCGGAGCCCTCCATTACGGAGGGTGCGTCGGCTCCCCGAGCCGACGAATCGAATTCACCCAAGCCATCGACACCCGGAGTCGACGGCGTTACGTCACTTTGGCTCTTATTATTGGCCAGACCTGATCCAATCAGATCCGCGTCAGCCTCCACGGCTGAGGCGTGTGACTCATCTGCGTCATCCGGGCCCCTTGAGGTCGGAGACTCTTCCTGATTCGCTGAAATGCGGGTGTCGATCTCCGAGATCAACACATTTTCTCCTTCAGCCGTCGGCGGCGACGCCGACGCTTCCTGCTCTTGCGAGCGTGCTCGCGCGCGCCCAGGGCGCTCCGGGACAGCGGCATTAGGCGCAGTCTCGAGTGGGGAGTCGCGCGCACCTGTCGGTGCGTGCGTAGCAGCAACAGGGCCATCGCTCACTGTTCCGCTGTCGCGACCGAAGCGCACGAGAGTGCGCTTCTCCCAATCGATGACCGGATCATGTCGAGCAAGCCACGGCATGCCCAATATAATGTCAAACTTATCGTCCAGATCCAGGACGATAAAGGTGTCGACATATTCTTGATCTTCATACGTGAAGCGCACGCGTACCATGCGCTTCTCGGTCTTCACGACGGCACCCGTTGCCAGTCGTACTTCCAACATACTTCGAGGTATCTTTAAATCCTCGAAGTCAAGCCTTGATAGACTTCGCAGTCGAACAAAGTTCTTCGACGCGCCAGAATCTACCAAAGCACGGAGAGAGCCGCTTGCTCTCATCGAGTTCACATTCAGGATGACAAGGTCAGGCTTGTCATCTTGGTTCTTGCAGTGAGGATGAACCTCACTGGGGGCTGCAGTCCTCAGTGTCGCGTGTCCAAGGTGGACACGCGGAACTGCATTACCAGTAGGGCGCCCCGCGCCTACTGGCGTCCAGCGTTTTTTGTTTGGTTGCGATGGTGCCCGGCACCGCCGCGATAGCCACCCTGCTGGTGCACGGGGGCCGTGCACTCCCGAGCAAAGTGACCGATTCTACCGCATCGGTAGCATCGCACATTGTTTCCTTGCGACTGCTGGGGTCCAGCAGTTGCAGCACTCGAGAGGTCCATGGGTTCTGGGCCTCCCGTCCTCACTACCGGGCGTGGCTGTGACCTCGGCACATGTGCATGCAGCTTAGCCTGCCGCAGGCTAAACTCCTCCTGCATTGCAAGAGTCATTGCAGCTTCGAGAGTACTCGGGTACTCACGGAAGATATAGGTCTTCACAGGCCCATCTCTCAGCCCCTTCATGAACGTGACGACCTTGGTCGCCTCGTCGATCGGATTGGTCACAATGTTCGAGACCAAGTACCGTGCTCTCTGAGCGTAAGCATGGACATCATGCTTGCCCTGCTGCAGGTCGAGGAACTCCGCCCTCGACCGGAACTCGTTGTGCGGGGTTGTCTGAACTCCTCCTTGAAACCCTCGTACGTGCTAAAGCACGTAGGATCCGAGAGTCGGCGTCCATACGCCCAACTTCTTGCACGTCCGCCAAGACATGACATGGCGAACGCGACCTTCGACAACGAGTCGACGATGCGTCGAGCCGCAATGGCAGTGTCGAGTTCGACAAGCCAACAGAGGAGAGGCTCGCCCTCTCTTCCAACGTAATTGCTCACGCTGAGCTTCAGCGATTGCGCGCGCGGTGTCGTCCCCGACGACACCGTTGTAGACGAAGCAGCATCTTGCTGCTCCCTCATGATGAATCCCAGAGCAACACCATGTTGCTCTGTCGGCTTTAGCGTACGCAGCATCGTAGCTACAGCCGCCTCACCAATGACTGTTAACAGTCGTTGGAGAGCTTCCCACTCTGGGTCCGACAGATGGGGACAGTCAGCGCGTGCAACGTGAGTTGTAGGCGTAGTGGAGCTTTCCATGGACACCTCCGTATCCATGGGAAGATTCTCCGCGTTCGTGCGCTGACGTACGAACTCAGGTAGTCGGTCGTTGGACGGACTACAAAGTGCTACCAGGTGTAATGGGCCTACTTTGGCTCACTACTTTAGCTTACACGTGTACGGGTGTATGTGAGGAAGCGTAGCTTAGTTTAAATTAGAGTTAATTATACTCGGGCCTCCGAGTATAGATTAATCTAAATAAACGATCCAAATAATGTTTTTGGGTTAAAAATGAGAACTGCTATTTTTGTTTTATGTTTCTGACTTCCTCTAAATGTAATATTCTAAGATAGGAATCTGCCAACGGCTGGTTGGCAGAATTCCAATGTTATGCATGTCGCTCATTGGCTAAGAGATGCTGCTCTCAGCCAATAGGAATCCTAAGTCTCTATGGACCACCCGTCGTGGTGGTCGTAAATGTATGTAGCATTTGGTGTATCTACACCAAGGTCGAGGAAGTCTTTCGAACCTCTAACAGACATCGTGTCTGTTAGAGTTACAAGTGACTGTAGCCACTTGTGCGTGTAACCCTGTTACACCGTCAACATGGAGCGCAACCAAACTGCAACAGCAAATCAAGACGCTCAAGATACGATATGGCAATAACGTGCTGAGTTTCCCCCCACGCTATTTCCACCCGCCACCAGAGCGAGCAGGACTGCATTTGGAAGCCAACGCCGCGTCTCCTCTACGATTTTCGCCTTTACCATTTCGATCCTATCACCGCAAGAAACCTACAACGCCACTGAAGGACTATTCTACCTACTCACCAGGCGTGATGTGCGCGCGACTGAACGTCAGCTAAATAACGGAGAGATTACAATGGCTGGGGTGTCCATGCTGGTCGAAGAAGCGACTATTCAAGTGAATGACGTGTTTCTGGATGCTGGATCCGGCGTGGGAAATGTTCTCGCTCAAATCGCTCTGCAAACGCAAGCATTTCGTGTGGTTGGTATTGAGATCCAACGTGACCTGGCCGCTAGAGGTATGGAGCTGATTGCGTCTAAAGCATCGCGCTTTCCACACTTGCTCAAGATCAGCGTCGTCGCCGCAGACATCCGCAATATTGCTGAAGGCAGCGATATTGTTATCAATGCTGATCCAGACTTGAAGTTGGCTCAACCCAGCTCCCTTATCAGCTCCGCCACCCTTTTATTTTGCCACGACACTGTGTTCGAAGAAGATGTGGTTTTGGCAATGCGTGCTTTGTGCATAAAGCTACCTCATCTACGTCTGGTGGTGCTGACAACACGAGTGTGTCCGCGGCATCGTAATACGTGCCGAAATTCGTTTTGCAAGCGGTGGAAGTTACTGAAAACAATTCTGGTTCCGATGACTTACAGCAGCTCCCTTCGGGATTTACACCTGTACGCAGCTGAACCAAGATGGTCGATGCAGTAACTACGATCACTACTCTAACATTGCCGCCGAGGGTCAAACCAACAATTATGTATTAATTGCATGAAAATCAATCACAACGCTAATCAACTTCGACCTGCAGTTGAGTTTGACAGCGTAATGAAGCCGCTGTCGCCCCATCAGCTGTCATACGAGGTCTAGAGAACCCAATACAAGATGAAGTGTTCGTAGCGGACGAGCTTACTCGAGTCGACATACGGCATCGTGGGCTCCGTAACCAGACCCCAGCTGACCATGAAGATTCCATGCTTCAAGCCGTCGTTGTATCTGTCGTTCGTGGAGTCTTGCCACACCCCGCTGTCCCTGTCCTGCTCTTGGCGTCCTCCCTGCCGCTTGTTTCCACCGTCGTGCCTTCGGCATCGCGCTTGGACATTCGCTGTGGAGTCGACTCGCGTTAGGGTGAAGTGTCAGCACCCGCATGGTTTCAGCGGTGGGGGCACGTAGCTTAGGTGGGCGCAGATGCGCAAGATCGCCTCCTTGCTCAACTCCTGCCGGGAGTAGCCGGTGAACAGCTCGTTCTGAATGTAATACGCCTGTCGACAACAACACCACCAGCATGAGCCCCTAGATATGAACGCCAAAGCTGCCAAGACGCCGCCTTACCTTGTGGGGGTTGAAGATGGTGTCCACCTCGCACACCTACCGAGTCCACAACATCTCTCAGCGTCAGCCTCCCTTCTGCTAAAGCTCCAGTAGCCCTGAAGCCTCACGTACATTGCTGAAGTAGCGGTCGGGCTCCTCCACGACCAGGAGCGTCCAGGTCTCGATCGAAACAACTCGGTCTTCGCAGTGGCACCGGCAGAGCCGTACTCGTAGCTCGTCGACCAGCGTACCTCGCACGTGTGAAGGCATCTATAGAAGGCATGATACAAGGGAAAAGAAAGTTAACATTAGTGAGCGGTCCATCCTATCAACTCAGAATTTTACCATAGCGGAGAAGCGCTAATCTTTCGCGGGCACCTGGTTATCGGCGGGTGTAAATGCTTGTGCGGTGGCCAATGGTGGCGCGGAAGCCCGGCACCCATGCCCATCTGCCTTTTAAGGTGAGAAATCCGCAAACAGATCGCATTGGCCAAAACGCTCTCGGCGGGACCTTGAAGAGTCGCAGTTACCCTAACCACCTGCATGGCTTGAACCGGCACTTTCCCCCGAGGTTTTTCTTATCCCAGCAAAATCGGGATAACGGTCGCCGGTGGGTTAATCGAGCGATCGGACTGGCGGAGGCGATATTTGGCTTTCGTATTTCGTGTGGGCATCTTCCTGGGGCGATAAACACAATGGCGGATGCCGGATCTCGAGCGTGGACATCACCATTTAGTGACACCTGGTCTAACTTATCGTCTGCGTGGTCTCAGGTTCCAGTACCACCAGCGCTACGCAAGATCTACACGGACTTCTCGCTCAATTACAATCTTACTGATTGGCCGCGCAGTCCCGACCAAAGTACGCCGCCACGTGGAAACGATGGTCAGCGTGGTGCTCAGCGAACGGATACAGCAAATGGCTTCCCGTCGACGAGCAGGAGCACTCCTACCAGCTTGCGTTGTTTGCCGTCCAGTACTGGGCAAATTCAGGAAAACCCCTCTCAGCGAATACCGTGTTGTCCGCGATCAGCCATGTGTCTTGGTATCATATCCGTAACCTTGGATACTCGGTCGGGCTGCACGCGGGACACAACATGGCCGTGCGGGGGATGCAGCGGTTGTCACCACCTCCACCCCAAAAGCAACCAGTCACAATGGCCATCCTACGCGAAATACGGAGAAGATGCAACTTCCAGTCAGCCCACGACCGCGTGCTCTGGGGGGCTGCGGTCATGGGCTTCTTCTTTCTACTGAGGCAGTCGGAGTACCTCGCGGATGGTACAAAGATGAAGCCATACATTATTCAAGTCAACGACGTGCAATTCCTCTCCACGCAAGGGGTCCTGGCTCGCTCAATCGACAAGGTGGCTGCAGTCTCGATCAAGTCCCGCGGCAGCAAGTCAGACCAAGTCGGGGCCGGGGCTACGAGAACACTACACAGATCGGGCTCTGCATGGCTGTGCCCAGTGCAAGCAACATGGGAGCTAGTACAGAATTCTCGCATGTTCAGCAGCAATGAAGCTCTCTGTGCTACCGGTACCGGCAAGGTCCTCGCCGCAAATCGTCTGGCTAAAGCAATCAAGTGTGCCGCTGCCGCCGCGGGGGCAGACCCTTTGACTTTCGGAACTCACTCCATGGGGAGCGGAGGGGCGACGGCACTCTTCGCGACTGGGGTCGACAGGCTCACAATCAAATTATTCGGAAGGTGGTTCTCCGATGCGTTCGAGCAATACACCAGGATGAACGAGGCAACAACAAGATCACTCGCGGAACAGATGGAAAGAGGGGCCCGGTCACATGTCAGCCCAGTTACACTGGTTGGGGCTTCGTCCAGCTCCAACACGGAGCTCGACTAGCTAACACGTATCCGAACATGATTTGACTGCGCCCCCATCGCTGCATTATCTCTGAAAACATCATGTACCGGTACAGTATATGAAAAAATGGTTTGGACGTGTACGATACTTCGACATACATCTTCAATTCCATAGGTAATATAAAGCTAGTACCCAGTGCGTTAAGTAAATTACGGGTAGTTTACGAGACGGGTTACGGGACAGCCAAAGGTAAAAAAGATTACGGGACAGTTTACGGGTCAGTTTCAGATTTAGTTTTCGGGCCCTCCATTGCAATGTGGTGTGATGTACTTCGAAGTACATGTATTTTATTAAAATAATAGTGCGTTCAAATACATAATATATACCCCTGTTCTATATATCGCTAGCAAGAAGAATTTTCGTGTGGGGTCTTGTCTGTGAGCTTCTTCTGCTTCATGGTCGCTCCATACGGCAATATAGTCGATGTTCGGCAATTCTGCCCTGGAACGCATTTGTGTCAAGCGCTCTTGGAGTTACCCAAGCCCACGATGTCGTTAACGGTGATCCGAAGACGCCCCTCGTCGGCGTCGTGCTCTGCTGGAGACTCACCTTTCTTTCGCTACGGTATTTTCTTGTAGCCTCCGCGTGCTCTGCTGGCTGTTATGTCGATTGCAAACTGAGCTATGTCTAGTGACACAAACATCATGGTGACGTCTGCCCATATTAACGTTGACGTTGACGCTGCTGCTGCGTGTTTTCCGGGGGTGGTAGCGTACTTCCTCTCGCGTTGTCCAGAAAATGAATCCCTAGACCCCTCATGGTCGACTCAAACGGAGTCGGAACTTTTGCTGCCTCGAATGGGCACTTGGGAGTACTGAAATCGCTACACTAGAACCGAGCGGAAGGCTGTACTACCAGAGCCATGGACAGCGCTGTCAAGAAAGGCTACTTGAACGTAGTCCAGTGGCTTCCCAACTAGCACCTGACCACAAACACTGAAAAAAAACATATACGTGCTTGCAAGTATGATCAAATACATAACGACAAATATTCCTTTGCTGCCTGTACAGTAGCGTACGCAATAAGACTTAGCAGATGCACTTGCTCCTAAATGACATGGTGATGCGGCATTGTCTGATGCAGTGTTTTGATGTACAGTGCTTTATCATCAACCTCAACCTTGGAAAACGGGTTGGAGCTGGGCTCGTCGGTGCCGTTCTTCGCGCAATAAACGACGCTGAGCTGCTATACGGAAAGGGCGCAGACGACGGCGGCCCAAAGCTGCAGTACGAGTGGTGTCCCACCAGTTTTGCGCTCTGGGGAGCGAGCACAACCTCGCCCAGGACTTCCTCGGTTGAAATCTCTCCAAAAACGCAGTGACGAAGTCTGACGGGTACTGCGAATACATCCAATCCAAAAACTCCAACCGCGATTGTGGAACTTTCGAGAGCGCTTTGAGGAGGTCAGCGCTGCATTCCATCCTGGCATACACTACCACACTGAAGTGAGAAAGTTCCCAGGCGCTTACAAGAGTGGCGGTCCCCACATTGGTTGTACCCATATTCGTGTGGAGCCAACGCACAACAACCAGGTGGCCATATTTCACTGCCAGGATCATCGCAGCATCTGAACAGCCCTCGGGTCGGTTGCGATGCAGCCACTGCACAATATCAAGATGACCATTCTTCGCGGCCTCATCCATCGCTTGGGTCGTGCATCCCTCACTCCATGGCTGGAATGAAGTTTAGAAAAAGGAACTTGATAAACCGGTTTATCAACTTCGTCGGCGCGGGGTTTCAAAGTTTGAAGGCGGTATATCGGTAGTTGCTGTTCAAACCAATACTCTTGCAAAAACAGGATCGCAAACGGCTCAGCTTCGCTTCCTGGAGCTCCTATTTTCTCCTCGCGCAGATATAATTGGCTTCGGATAAAGCCGCACCCTTTCAGTAGGGTCGTGGAGAATAGGCAAAGGCACTTACATGTAGCTTCCTCACTCTTGGCACCTGTTCCCGGCAGCGTATCCAAGCCGCACTATCGTTCCAACGCAAGAATGACAAATGGCGACAGCTGCATACGCCACCTGCAGCTTCTAGGACGCCGTGGCGCGTAGCAACCTCACCATCTTTGGTGGAGACGTCACATTTCAATTGTCCCTGTTTCGAGCACCCCTATCGTCTACCACTTCTCGTCTTCAACACTTCTCCCGGCCCCCAAGCCCCACAACTTCGTTGTCCCTGAATCACATCAACTCTTTGAGAGTTCGCCTTCGCTCCTCGTGCTTTTATCGGTAAGTGCTAAATGAATGCCCGAATCAGCTTTTCGCTATCTAACATTGCTCTCTCTCTACTAATATATGTAGCGGGTCGCTCCACACCGCGTGACTACGGCAAACGGGCGGTCAAATAACCCACATCACTGTCGTCGCCAGAAGTGGTCGGGTTGCAAGTGACGATGGACCAACTCTCTTCCAGTCGTGATTTCAATGCTGAAGGGCCAGCCTCCACTCGAGGTGCTCGAGGTGTTGATACAGCACCATCGTCTCCTGTCGAGTATGATTCTGAAGATTACTGTGATGGCACTACTGGAGTGACGGCTACACGAGGCTACGCATATGGCCAGCAGTCCCAAGTGGAATCTGCTGTTGCTGGAGCAAGAGGAGGGCCTGCACAAAACGTCACTCACGGCTCAGCATTTGCGCGACTTCCTTTATCAGAACAAGCAAGGACGTCAGCATCCCAACAGATACCCTTCACGCAATCGGCACCCCCAATAACTTCGAGTCTACCCTGTGGTGATTTCCGTCGGACGACTTCGAACTCCGTAGGACCCGGTGCTGGAGCTACGACACCAACGCCACCCCAGCCACCCGACGTTACTGGCCGTGACTCCTGTGAGTGGCCTCCCGAGCCGACGGCGCTGTATGATGCAGACGATATTGCTCGGATCCAAGCATGTATCCGTGAGGCGGTACTCCAGTTTAGGCCAAACCAAACGTGTACGCCGATGCCTCTGCCCCGAAGCCATCGGTCTATTACGTTCAAATATGGAGTCCGCGTGAAGTGCTGGTTCCGCGAATCCCTTGTTGTCGGGTGGTTGTGCATGGCAAGCGATGCGTGCCGTCGGGATATCACGTTCCTGCCCTTCCATGGAGGAAAACCCACTAATGGTACAAAGCACTTGTGGGAGACGCACCAAATCCAGTCTGAAAAGACGACCCTACAGAATACGCGCAAGCGGGACCGCGCTGAAGAGGTCAACCGCATTCTAGCGTCCGCGTTATGCCGTGACGATGCGAAGCGTTCGTGTTTGTTTCTGGACACGATTCGAATTGTCTACAACAACTTGCCATTCCGGTTTGGTGAGTACGAAGAGTCAGTCATTCTGAAGGAAGTCGTCACAAAAGATGAGTTCAAGACAACAGTGAACTCAAGAACGGTGACACATTCACTTGTCGAGTTGTACGCATCCGGTCGCCAAGAGCTGATAGGGTTCATCAGAGACAATCGTTTGGGACTTATCAAGTGTTTGACGATGGCTGTTGACTTCTGGACCCCAAAGCATGGTGGCGAAAAGTATCTCGGTTTGCGCATCTACTTCGTCGACTCCCACTTCCGACTGCGTACTGTGCTTCTCGGTACTCGTCATTTCTTGCCCATGTACGGAGAACGCGACCAAGGGATTCTCGGCCCTTTTTTAGCGGTGGATTTGTGGTATTCTGTTTGACTTTGGCCTGTCCCCGTGCGACTTCTTCGGCTCCACCACTGACAGCGGCCCCGACGTTAAATGGATTGAAGTGGGAATGGTGCATCCCTCACATGGTGAACGCTGCCACCAAGATGGCCTGCGGCTTGGCGCGAAAATCGCACAATCCCGAGATGTCGGAGTTGCTAAACAAGCTATCTCAAACGGTGTACGGCACCTCCACCAACTCGACACTTAGCGACCTGCTTCCCATGCTGATGGTAATGTGGGGGGTAGGCAATGGTAGGCTACAAGCCGCATCGCTTCATGGGGATGGCAGCCACGATGGAGCGGGTACTGGAGAAGGGGCCAGCTCTGGAGGCATGGTACGAGGCGCGTTCAGCTCAGCACGCACGGAAAAAGAAGCGAGCGCCACCAGGGTTTCACCTTGCCGGTTGTCCACAGCATTTGGTGCAGCTATTATCAATCCTGACACCGATTCTTCTCGTGACGATGCGATCACAGGCGAAGGATACGAATCAAGTGCAAGTCTTGCTGCCCTTGTATACGATGCGCATGACTTCTCTCGCACTTGACAGCCCCATCAGGCGCTACGACACGGCTCCGACGAACGCCGTCAATATTCACCCCTTTCAACTAACATCGCTGGTGGCGAGGACAAGGATGCTGCTAGAGAAGGCGTTTTAGCACAACTTCTTCCGCCGATATGTAGATGCAGACTACATTGCATCCGGTTCCTACATTTTTGAGATGCAACTGGTGATGTATCCTTCGGTTAAGCACGTGGGGAGTCCGATGAACGAAGTGATTGCCGCCGTTGCACGTACTGAAGGGAGAATGCGGGATGATCTTGTCGCTGGTCATGTTGTCGCCGTTCGAGCTGCAATTATGAAGCGCTTGAAGTCGCTAATGCGCTTAGTAGCCAACAGTCACGACCCAGCACCCGTTGATCCGATTGCTGCTCCAGCTGTGCAGGCCAATGTTTTCGATGACGACATTTTGGCAACCATTGCAGTTCAACCCTTCCGAAGCACCGAACGACCTGCTCAACAACGTAACGAGCACGATGCTCCCATCGCCGGTGAGCTGAAAAGGTGGCTAGAAGATTCGGATGGGCTACAGATAATAACAGTTCCTGATCCAGCCAAGACGAGCGTCCACAGACCGGAGAGTATCCTGGAATTTTGGCATCGGCAGCAGCAGTCCAAGCGCTATGTCTTGCTACCCATGGTTGCTCGCATCCTGTTTGCAGTCCCATCTTCTTCTGCTCAGATTGAAAGGGACTTCGGCAACAGTGGGAAAATGGTGACTGCCCTGCGAGCTTCTACAAGCACGGCTAATATCGACATGGCTTGCTTCCTTCATCAACACCGGTCATTTGTCGATGTGTGCCAGTGCCCAAAGCTGAAAGCATCCGAAGTCGACGAACACATTCCAAGCAATGTCAAGATTAACCTGGAACCCGAGGTAGTGGAGCGAATGGAATGGAATCAGCTGGCACAAGCGTGCTTTTCGACATCAAGCGCAAGCGCATTTGCTTCTTACAACGAGAAGGAGACGAAAGACTCAAGCTGTTAGTTTTATCGAGTAGGAGGCGAAAGACTCCAGCTGGTAGTTTAACTGCTTCATATATTCAAATATATTCACCTAGCATATTCGAAGTGGCTTTAGTAGTCAATTCCATGAGTTTGTCAAGTCCAGCATGTACAGGGATAAACATTACGAATACTGCAGCGCTTTTACCTTCGCTTGGTGTGATTTCTCCAGCGCACTTGCACGTTCGGCAGCGCGTAATGCTGTTTCGAGTGTCAGTTCCGCGCGGATTTGGTCCAGTCTCGATAGATTAGCCACGGCTTGCGGCTTCGACGTTTGAGCTGCGGTTGGTTTACGCCTCACTTGACCTGCTCCAGCTCTAAGAACGCCTTTGGGGTGCAATGCTGGATGATCGTTGCTGTAGGAAGTCTTGCGACCTTGTCGACCTGGGGAACTAGCTGTTTCCTGATCCGACTTTGCCTCGTGCAGCGATTTCATTGTTGCTTCGATCGAGTTCCTGAATGAAGTCATCGCTTGATTCACCTCTGCCTTTATTCGGGAATCCATAATATTCTCCTTGTCTTGAAGAATACTCTGGTTCGAGACAACATCTTGCTGATTGTGGCACTGTGTAGCCATCTCCGCACGAAGTTTCACAAATTTACGCTCCTGCTTGCGCTGCAGCTTGTTTAGTTTTGCGTCAAAACGCAGCTCCAACTCGCGAGCACTATCAGCAACAAGTTTTTGAGATCCGCTGTCTAGCTTCTGTCTTTCAGCGCGCAACTGGGCAGAAATCAAATCAGCCACGCTGGAGTCACGCTGTTGAAGACGTTCATCGACATAGGCTTTCATTACCGCTGTCGCTTTATTATTCACCGCTGTACTGCACGACTCCATCGCTATCTGAAAGAAGTGCTGCGTCCACGACTTCGTGTCCTCCACTTTGCAGTCCAGGTCACTCATATGCGCCTGCATCTCGGTTCGTATCCTCTCTTCTGAAGCCCCTTACTACACTGTCTCGCCTGCACAGCTAATTGGCGCTCGACTTCTGCAACGTGATGTTCTCGCTCTGCACGAAGGTGAGCTTGAATATCGTTCTACAGGCTGCGTGTCTGAACTTGAAGCTCTTCATTAAGTCGGCTGTGTGATGCTTGAATACCTTCTACCATCTGCTCGTTCATTCGGCGCTCACTTTCTTGGCGGGTCTGGCTGACGTGCTCGTGTGTGTAGTTCAGTAGTTGCTGCGTCCGCATATCGAGCGCCAGAGTTCGTTCTTCCGTCCTGCGTCTGGCCTCCTGCAGCTGAAGCTCCATGGCTTGACGCTCGATGCTTCCGTCCACCAGCACCAGCTCTTCTTGTACGGATAGGTGTTTCTACTGATCCTTGATGGAAATGCTTCGGTTGCGCCTCGCGTGTGGCGGGTTTCCGCTTTGCAGAGCTTGATCATCGTCGTGGAGCTCACTTGTGTACGATACAAGAGGCGCGTATGAGTGCTGCATACTGCCTCGACTGGTGAGCAAGATGCAATGGCGTTCACGGTGCAGGGAAAGATATGTGCTCTGGTAAGGCTGCGCACTTAACCGAGAAGTGCCCGACATCAAGGCTATCCAGCCAATAGGCATGAACTCGTCGTTTCGTTCTCTCGAATAAGTTAAACCTTCGTTCGCTTCCTCCCGCTTAAGTTTTCATGCGTTTGAACCTTAAAACCTCGGTTCCTGAGGTTAATGGATTCGTCGTTTCGTGGGGAACAGCGCTTCCTTAAGTCTTCATACCAGCCATGCCTCACTCCGGTTCGCGTGTAGCCACTTTACCACGTGCAAATGCCCATTACATGCCGCGACGTCCATAGCATCCGTAGCGCACGTGTTGCCGTAATTCGTCAGCCACTGCACAATTTCTAGGTGGCCACCGGCGGCGGCGGAATTGATAGCCCGAGGTGAACAGCCTTCACTGCGATTCTGGAGTAGCCACTTGACGACTTCTATGTAGCCATTCTTGGCGGCACCATCCACAGCTTGAGTAGTACAGCCTTCCACTCTGTTGGCATGCAGCCACCAGGTGTCCGCTGACTGCAGCGCTATCCATGGCTTGCCTGGTGCAGCCTTCCGTTCTGTGTGTATGCAACCACTTGACCATCTCCAAGTGGCCGTTCGCGGCAGCAGCGTCCATGACTGCGGCTGTGCAGCTCTCAGAAGTATTAGCGTGCAGGCATCGAACCAAGTCCAAGTAGCCATGTCCTGCGGCAGCGTCCATGGCTCCACTGGCCCCGTTCTTTGGTTTGTGGCGTAGAAGAAGACAAACAATGTCGAGCCTTCCTCGACCAGCAGCTACAATCATAGCCATGCCTAGCCCGAAGCACCTGCTGCGATGGACTGAAAGCAGCCACGCGATGGTATCATAGTGTCCACAACGCACCACTCGAGCCATATCCACAAACCCTTGAAAGCGTTCAAGAAGCCACCTTATCATCTCCACGATGCCGACTTTCACCGCCGCGTCAATAACACCGGAAGATATCCCATCGCAACGAGGCTGTAGATTGTAGACCCACTGCACCGCCTGAAGACTCCCACCCTTGACAGCCGACCTAATCCAAGTGGCCGAAGCCACCTTGTTCACGCGTGACACTAGCCACTGCGCTAGCTCCAAGTGTCCGAGCTCCAGTGCCGACCTGATGAGAAGGTAACCCTTCTCAAAGCTTCATCATTCTCAACATCTTCACCAGCGTCGACTTGAGTGTCAGCGAGAGCGACTGTCGTAGCGTTCCGACCGAACAATAGATCCAATATCTGGATTCGGCCGTTGGCAGCCGCAAGATTCACAGCATCAAACGACACCTTCAAGTCGGGGAAGCTCTCCAGCAGTACCTTGACCATCTCCAAATTCCCGGCAGTGACAGCGTTTTTCACCCCTTCATTGAACTGCCAGAGCCGAAACCCAGGGCACGTCAGGATGCTGTCGGCTGGTTCGAACCGGTCCAGCGCAATAATCCGCTTGAGCGTCGCCAGGTCGCACTTGTTCTTGCTCACGTCCGCGATCGTCCGGGGCGGGGGGCCCAAGAACACCAGCAGGGAGGCGAAGACGAAGTGGAGCTCCGTCAGTCCCCACTTGCGGTAGATCACGCGAAGATACACTTGCACTCTGGCGTCCACCAGAAGAGCCAGTGGGGTCGGGACCTTGCCTGTGAGCTTCTGCTGCTTCCGTGGCCGCTCCATAGTGGACTCTACTGGTCTTCGTCTTGCAGCGATCGCGTGATTTGCTGGCTGCTGCGTAAATTGCCAACTGAGCTTGGACTATCCGGATAGTCACACCAACATCCTGGCGGCTGGGCATTCGGCTGTGGTGATTTCTAACCAGAAGATGGCGCGAGTTAACCCTTTCGCGAGTATCAGCAATAAATTATAGTATACAACTCATTGATATTTCCTTCTAAAAGGGCGCTCTAGGCGTTCCTTTTACAAAGTTAGGGAGCCTTTTCAGTGTGTCCCATGGGACATCCCATCTACGGTGATTTGCAGGATACGTAGAATGTATGTGTATGACTTAGAATTTGTATTACCAATGATTCCATGATGATTACTCTGCGTACCGATTATGATCTGTTTTAAAAGAAAGGTTGATTACTAGCTTGAACTTGTGCAAAAGAGCACAGGATGCGCCCTTTAAGAGGGGGTACACTCTACCGTGTTTTGGAAAATCATCTAAAGGGCGCATTCTGTATCCATTTACCGCGAAAGGGTTAATGAAAAGATGACGCGAGTAGTCACTAAAACGGGATGTACCCATCTCAATATGGCTACATTTCGTTGAACTTCAACATACTTTTGCTGAGTGTGAATGAATGACCCATCTTAAAACGTTGACGCTGCTGCTGCGTGTTTTGCGGGTACGATAGCGTACCTATCCAAGCTTCCATCGCTTGATACCTACTCAGAAACTCGGTCACAAACTCTTCCGGATGGTGCAAGCACAGCCAGTCGAAGATTCTCCACACTTGTGCACTCGAGCCATGCTTCGCAGCATTCTCGAGATCCCATACAAAATCATCCTCAGCACGGCTCGAGCTGAGAAACAGCACGACTGTGAACCGCCCAGTCACGAACGCGCCCAACAGAGACTCTTTCGAGCAAGGTTTGCCGATCTCCAGAAGCCGCTGAACAACGAGAAAGTGCCTACTCCTCGCTGCTCCATCCATCGCAGCATCGGCGCAACCCTCTGCTCGGTTGACATGTAGCCATTACAAGACTTCCAAGGGGCCGAGCTTCGCCGCTTGATCCATTGACCCCCCCCGTTGTGCACCCCTCATTCCGGTTCATGTGTAGCCATTTCATGACGTGCAGATAACCATTACCCGCCGCTCCTTCCATGGCATCTGTAATGCAAGCCTTGCTCTCCTTCGTAAGCCACTGCACGATTTCAAGAAGCCCTCCGCTGGCAGCAGATTCGATGGCGCTGGCGCGGAACAACCTTCTGGCCGATTCCCAAGCAGCCACCGGACAACTTCTAGATGTCCGTTTGTAGCTGCGCCACCGCTCCAAGTGTGCAGCCTTCATCTCGGTTATCATGCAACCACTTAAAACCATGTCCAAGTGTCCGTTGGCTGCTGCATCGTCCATCACTTTGCTGGCATATCCCTCCGTTCTGTGAAGATGTAGCCATTTTACCATCTCCAAGTGTCCATTTCCGGCTGGGGCAGCGACCACGGCTCCTGCTGCACCGCCACCTCCAGGCGTCTCGTGGTCTAGAAGTAGTCACGTTAGCTCCAGTTTACCACGACCAGCAGCTTCGACCACAGCCCATTTCAGCCCAACGCACTTGTTGCGATGAGCTGAAAGAGCCCACTCCGCAAATTCGTATTGCTCGTCAGAGGTCAACTTCGCCACATCCACGGACACTTCAAAGCGATCAAGCAGCCACCGTAACATCTCCATGTTCCCGTCTTCCAAAGCCGCATCGACCGTACCGGTAGGAGTCGTATACCGACCAAGTAGAATTGGCAAGGTATTACCGCACAGAGAAGTGAAAATCTCCGGTGAAGGGAACAGATAAGGGAAAGGCAATGCACCAGACCATGACCCCACTTCCATTATTTTATGAAATGCTCCAAGTGGACCTTCGGGTGATCTGCCGCAAATGGAGCATAGGTGAAATGCCTCATGTTCTTGACTCTTTTAACGAGTTTCTGAGGTTGCCGCCGCGGCAAACTATCTCGCAAGTGACCAAGACGAACGACCTGACAATGCTGCTGCGTGTACTCGCAGCCAACAACCGGGAGCGAGCTAATGGCGGCCTAGTGAAGCCGGGCTTTCGTCGCCGGCAATTCATCGAGGGCATCAGACACGCCGTCGTCGTTGATAACTTTGAGATGGCCAAGGTTCTGCTGGATGAATTCCCAGCCTTAATAGTGTTGATTGACGTCGTGAAAACCGCTATAGCCTATGGCCGGTGGGAACTCTTGGCCTTGCTGGCCCCTCGCAGCACTACATTGGGGACCCGGGTGGTGGACCCGGGGGGGGGGGTTCGCAGTTCGAAGCTAGCTTGTACGGATACCCTTACAGGGAAACGATGTACTGGCATCCACTGCGCCTGCTTCGCAGCCGCAGCATCTGCCTAATCTACCTACAACCAAGTGTACAGTTTGATCGCTTATTTTCAAAAGCATTGTCAGTTCATATACATGTATCGTCACTCCAACGAATTGGTACTTCAACGATTGGGTTTGATAAACCCACCGTGATGATTCTACCTCCTCCTGATCGTCGAATGAGGGCTCCACGGATTTAGTTTTAACTTTAGTTCTTTGTAGTTAGTAGAACGGTTATCAACAGCGAGGTGATCAACGTAATTTCTTTCCTTCCTGCTACTATAATGTGCGCTGATGCCCAGGCAGAATCCTTTATTGTTTAGATTGCAGTGTTGTGCTCGGAAACTTACAGGTGACGATAAAACAAGAAAAAAACGTGCATTCAAATAATTAGCGCTGCCAGGATAACTGCTCAACCAAACTTGCAGGATAACCCGATGAAGCCAGCAATTTGTTTCAAGTTTGATGAGTTAAAACTGAGGTCTAGCAGATTTCGATCACGTGTAGGAGTAGGATACACCGGGTGTTCGTCCTTCGCTTTGACGATGTCCGCCCGGTGCTTCCTCTCGCACAGGATGCGCGGCGTACAGCGACAACATATGAGCATTCAAACTCTGTTTGATAAAACATGGTGCAGCCGCACACATATTTTGTCCGGGTCGCCTGAAGATCTAACAACAACAAAAAACTGTCAGCTTCGATTCGTCCAAGTGTGATACCTTATTGCTACTGGTATTGTCATTTATCAAGTATTAATCTGAAGGTACTGTATGCATGTAGCATTAGGATGATCTGAACTAATATCGGTAACAATGTACTTTGAACTTGTTTTGACAAGAACAGGATCAAGTAGTAGATCATTCTACACCACCAGTTCGGTGGATCTCTGCGGGTCGCATTGTAGTCTCACACAAGACAAGCTTAAATCATCCAAGTCTTCATAGATAAATGCCTAAGCTAGTGCAGCTAGCCTTTAGCCTTTTTTCGTACCACCAGGAGCAGCTCTTTTTGAGTCTCCGCTGAATGAATTCGTTAGGACGTCACCGGATAGAGTTGGGTTCGGATTAAAAAAAATTGTTGAACGAAAAAAAATAGAGCTATACTTCCTATCTTGAATCGCACAACCTAGGACTTTAAGTAGTTTTTTGCAATGTTTTAGTGGAATGTTTTATCTAATCCATCCGGATTAATCCCAGTGAGTGTGGGGATTCACCAGGGCTGCCGAATATGGTATTTTTATTTATTAGCGCAGATAGTGTCTCATAAATAATGCAAGGATCTTGTCATTTGTATCTGTAATGTATTCGAGCAATAAATAAATAATGTGGTGCAACTTCAACGGGTATTAGACGTACGGTTTTCCTTCCTGCGATACGAAAGCACGTTGGGGCAAAGGTGGTCGTTCTTGATTAATGAGACGAACCTCGGTGAGGGTCATGTAATGAGCCGAGATGAGGTAGCCTAGGGAGTGGTGTGGTGGGTGTCGAATCGAAGCGCGGGCGATTGGTCGAGCCGCAGCTGGTGTCGGAATGCCGCTTGTGTCGGAGCAGGTGAAAGCGCGACTGGCGCCGCCGAGACGATCAAGAACGACTACCTATCTATAACTACTCTATGCGATGTGGCGGAGCAAAAACCGCTGGGCCCTCAGAACCGAAGGTTCCTCGGACCCCCGGGTGAAAACCGCTTATCGGACAGTCTATCCTAATCATAACCATAGGGCTCTCCAGAATGAGCGGATCGCTGAACTTGATGCAGCTGAGCGCGAACCATGACTGGGCTCCAGTTGTGGCAACGTGGCTTTCTCCTCTTGTGCAGGAAAACTCAATTTCCACCTCGCTTCTTTTGATGGAAAACTCAATTTCCACCTCGCTTCTTTTGATGGAAATACCGATTTCCTTCCTGCGATACGAAAGCACGTTCGGGCAAAGGTCCTCCAAGTAGTCCTGAGTCTGCTGCTGGGGCGACCGAGACTCCCTCGCCGGCAGTTCCCATTGAAGAGGCTACCGACTCGCCGCCGACACCGACACCGCCGCCAAGCGCCAGCGCTCCACCGTCGCCAACTCCCGCGCCTTCGGTCACGTTGGCAACTCGCGGGGCGTCGGTGGTGGTGGGGGGGGGGGGGGGCGAGGCAGCTGTAGGAGGTCGCGCCAGAGCTGGTGCTGACCCGGCCGAGGTCCCCCCGACAGCGGTTGTCTTGGGCGAGCGGCAGATGCTGGAACTCGCTCGTCTCGTCGTGGGTGTTGCCCGATTACCTCCAGCTCGAGTCAACGCTGCTCTCGACCGGAGCCTTCAAGCTGCCACTAACGTCGGTGAGGTGCTGGCTGCTGCCGTTGATCCTCCGCGTCTCCCTCTTGCAGAGGCTGATGAACTGGTGGCCCTCCGCCGCGAGAACGACCGGCTGCAGGCAGAGCTCTCCGACACCAAAGATAAACTCGCTGAAGAGATGAACCTTCGGACCAAGTCGGACTACTTCCTCGTCTCGGCCAACTCCGAGTGCGACCAAGCTCTGGACCTCGTCCAGGACATGCGTGTCCAGCTCAGCAACGCCAGCGCTCAGTTGATGCAAGCGAACGCGGTCAACGCTCACCACGCTGATGTCACTCAGTCGTTGGAGAAGTGGACGCTCGTTGCTGAGGCCGATTCGGCCGCTGCTGTACGCCGGAACACCCAGCTCCACGAGCGCATAAGTGCAAGCCTCGTTACCTACAACACTCAGTTGGAGAGGCTTCGCAAGCAGTTGGCCGACCGCGACCGAGCAAACGTCATCCCCGCACGCATTCAAGCGTTGACGGACGAGAACAACAGCTTGCGGCGAGCGAACTCTATCCTTCGTCGGCACTCGGCTGCATACGGACTCGACGCCGACGCCTTGGTCCTGGCCTCAGCCGGCATCTCCGCCGCAGAGATCGATTGGAATCTTCTCGGGCTGTGAGGTGAGGCCGATGAAACCTTTGTCGCCCAGGGGGTTCGTATAGCGCAGCCCAAGACTGTTCCCCAGGGTGTAGACCCAGAGAATCGACTTGAGAGTCAACAGCAAGGAGATAGACCGTGAGATTCGTAGCCGCAAAGCTTTAAACCCTGAGAATCACACGCCTTGGTTGGCGTGGGTACCTTGTGTAATCCCTGTCGGCTTGTTTGTCTTCGACGGAACGGCACTCCACCGGTTGTAAATGTAGCCTCGAAGTAGTGCGGGAGCGCACGTCTACTTCAGAACGCACCTCCACACCAAAAGGCAAACCCAGAGAATCAGATCCCCTGAAACCCAGAATATCACGAATTCAGGGTCCAGGATTTCACTCAACTCTGGGACTTGGAACTCAGAAGACACCTTACCCAAATGCCCTCCTAGCTCGATAAAACCAACAAATACAGAGTATACAAACACTACAACTAGCCCTCACTTATTCTTTTGGACCCTTGGACGGTGGGTCACGCACACACTAGGCTCACTCGAGTCTGAAATTCAGGGGCCTAGCTCCCCTGAGACTCACACAAACGCGCACCACCTCCAATAAAAGAGGAAATACAATCACTATCAGTTACCTTCCCTTCACACAAACAGTCAATACAAAATCCTGGAGGCAACTACCTAGCACCCCAGAATACCCTCTGGAATAATATGAAATGGGCTACCACGAGCACAGCAAGCGACCCAACTAGGATATGGAATAGATGGATCACTCCAGGAAGCTCAAATCCGTCGCTGGTCCCCACCTAACTGGACTTGAGTTGGTGGAGTCCACACAGACGGCTGTCCTTCGCCGTTGATGCACCCTTAGCGTCCCGCGGTCGTAGTATCGGGTCCTCCGGATTTCCGTCGGCAGGCTTGGCCGAAGTCACTTGCGCAGTACAGGGAAAATTGAACTCTGTTTGGTTTTTATCAGCTACTTCTCTCTCTCTCTCTCTCTCTCTCTCTCTCTCTCTCTCTCTCTCTCTCTCTCTCTCTCTCTCTCTCTCTCTCTCTCTCTTCTTCGGGCAAATATCTTCTGTTCACTATGCTTGGGGTTCTTGTCTCGAGTATACCTTGGGTTCAGTGGTCCAAACTTGCGATCGGCTTGCGAATCCATTGTCGCACGGCGTCGAAAGTGCCAATTGTGGGTCCTTAGACTTGGTTTAGTATGGTGCAGGACTCCCTCTCGACTCCTCGAAAGTATCCAGTCTATGCATCCATGACGGTTCTTCAAGGTCACGCATCACTTTGATTGCAGACTGACTTCGAACTGACTCGAATCCCTGAAAACCAGGTGACACTCAGGGCCATCTTCTGAAATCCTGGGAATTATGAGGAATCTTGGGGAACGGTGGGGATTCTTGGGTGTTGGCTCGGGAAACACCTCAGTTCAGTATAGTGAGTCTGGATTTATGGTCCAAACCAGAGAATCATCTTTGGAACTCTGGGTCACCTGCACTCAGGGATGTGAACTCTGTGTCATCGTGCGGCACTCTGGGTTTCCGTGCAGCACTCTGGGTAACAAGTCTGCTGTATTGCAGGCTCGTGTGTATCTCCACAAAGCCACACTTTTAGCGGGTTTAGCGGCCTCCTGCGCATGATCATGGTAGTAGTGGGTTGATTCTCAGGGTAGTTTGATCCTCTGGGGCACTCTGAGCCACAGCAAGATGAGGTGTACTCTGGGATACATTCTCCAGAAACACTTTCCGCCAGACTTTAGGCACTCATCGTAAGGGAAAGTCCGCGGCTGGACTGAGTGTTCTCTGAAATCCTGGGCGTGCACTCCCAGGATTCACACTTCCAGCCAGTTGGGCCCATCTGCGGTCAGGCGCTGGATTCATCCCGAGAAATCACTTCTCTCCCACAGTCACCATCCATGTCACACGGGTACAGCCGCGCCGTATCCAAGTCATTCACCAATCAGCATCCGATACAAACTCCAAGTCACAGAAGTGACGGCACATCGTCGGCAATTTTCTGGGGACCGCCTCATGTCAACCGCCCCTCCTGGTCCGGGTCCATCAAAGAGGAAATCGTTCCGAACTGGTGAACCATGGCCAGGCCACAAAAACACACAGGTCCATCCACCGTCGACTTCGATACGGCCGTTGCACTCTGTCGACTCCCAGGGTTTCACTCACTTTGGCGGCACCCTGTCTCCCCAACGGTTGGTCAGGACCTATCTTTAAGGTTCTCCTCTCAAACGCAAAAACTCCAACGGGCAATGCGCGGTCACATCGCCATTTCACAGATCGTCAACATGACGGAGAGCGCGCCATCGGACGGCAAGCAAGCGACGGCGCCAGCTCAAGGCACAGCGCCCCCTGGCAGCGCGCCACCTCCGATGCAGCAGCGCACCGGCGACGCCCATGCGAGCACCGCACCAGCAGGCGGGGGCAGCGGCCAGACGGGTAACTCCGCGTCCGGCGCCACTTCGACGGGTAGCACGAAGACGGGCGCGACCAAGCGCGTCTCCTTCTCTAGCGCCACCGGCAAGACCTCCGACGCGGACATGCGCGAGGCCGGTGGCAAAGCCTCGGCTCATGCTGCAACCCAGGAAACTGGTGACGCGAACTCAGAGTCCAAGGCTCCAGACGCGGGCGGTGAGGCTTCGGACGTGAACATGGAAGGCGCCCCTGAATTCAAGACGCCACGCGACGCTGGAGGACGTCAGAGGGCCCATCTTCGCAGGCATGCTTCGGCAGGAGGAGGTCGACCCCCCTGACTTCCTGGTCCCTGAACGCCCCCCCGCACTGGAAACTGCCGGCTCCGCCGAATCTCAAGACCAACGCGTATCTCGTGGGGGTCCCAGGGATCATGAACGACATTCGCGCGGGTACATTCGCCATGGAAGGCTACGGCGGCGCGTCTACGCTGATCGGCTTCGAGGAGCTCTCCGAACGAGGATTTTCAGGGGTTGAAGGAAGTCTGTGGCGCCAACGCTGGGATCGACGTCCTGTGTCCACGTCGTTCGCCTCATTCCGCATTCGAGTTGGACAACATCCTGAACTCCATCGGTATTCGACGCGAGATGGCCTCACTCCTGCGTCACTTCAACAGCTGAGCGCGTGTTCAAGATGACCGGTTACCTGCGTCGAGTCCTCGGGGCCTACCGAAACATGCGTTCTCTGGCTGACTCTCAGCAGGGTTTCACCGCCACTCAGGAAGTAGTCGACACGCGACGCAAGTACAAGGAACTGAAGCGCGCCTGGAAATTCACGTGCGACTACTGGTTCCTGGAGGTCCAAGAGGCCCTGGGCAAGGTGGATGACGCTGAGTCCAAGTACAAAGTCGCGCTGGGCGAGCAGAAGGCGCGGTACCAAGACGAGATTGATTATCTGGAGTCCGAGAAGGCGCAACTTAAGGCGCGCCTTGCTGACTCTGAGGCACAAGTGCGAATCCTTAAATCACGTCTTGAGTCAGCCACCGTGGACCCCTAGAAGTTCTCCGATTTCCTTCAAGAGCACACAGACTTCACGGGTAATTGGGAGCGCCTCCACGACCTCTTCAAGCTCTGCATCAAGTACTCGAAGCCTCCCGAATCCTGGGACACTGTCATCAACGTCACGACCATGGACAAGCGCAAGGCTGCGGTGGCCCCGTACCCAGAGAAAAGCACACGTATGCCTCCGTCTTCGGGGTCTGGATCGTCCGGTCGTCCTGAAATTCTGGATCTCACTGGTCCTGGCAGCAAGCCTCGCAGCGGTTCGAAGACCGGGGGCAAAACTCAGGATTCCAAGAAATCTCAGGGTTCCAAGAAAGGTCAAGGCCCCAGAAAATCACGGGATTCCAAGGCGCCGGGCGAGTCGCCACGGCAGTCAGCGCACCCTAAGCCTCACAAAGTTCAGCGTCGCCCCAAGGATCACCAACCATGCCGCGACTCTGTGCGTCGCGCCAACGAGAAGACTGTGGTGTCCAAGGAGGCCGCACACACGATGCTCCCTGGGGGTGTCGTCTGGAAGGAAGTTCGGCCAGACGTGCGTCAGGCCATTCTTGCTGGGCTCAAGTACGACACAGCCATGGAGTGGATTGGCAGCGACCGGGCGGCTCACGGGCACTTCAGGCAGCCGCAGCTGATCAAGATGCTCGTGAGCATGATGTACTGGCGTCGTCTTGACCTGGCTCCCTGGAGCAAGTACGTCCTTGAAGCCTACTACGAAATGGCAGACGAGCGTCTGGCCAGGTGCCTTCGACGCGGTGATGTACCACCACCCTGGGGGAACCTCGATGACCACATGGTGTACCCTGATAAGGACGCCGATTCCACGGTGGACGACATCGAGAATGACCCGGACTACCAGCCTCCCGCCCAGGAACCCGAGGAGAGCGCCTCTAGTAATAGCTCTGAAGAGGAGGAGGTGGTGGTCGCCCCTGAAACTCTGGAGGACATCGAGGACGCAGAGGACGACGCCGACGCAGAGGACGACAATGGGGTAGAAGAACCCCTGGAAGTCAAGCCTCCTGCTAAGCGCCCCCGTTCTGAGTCAAGCAAGAAACCTCAGGGTTCCAACTCGATGTCGAAGAAGAAACGTCGCGCGGGAAACAAGACAGACACTTCTGCCACTCAGGGTTCTAGTGGTACTCAGGGGTTCAAGGCTACATAACGCTCCAAGCATCCTTCGGCGCTCGCGCGGAAATCGTACTCGGAGCTCACTTCAAGTGAGTTGATGACGGCCGAAGACCCTGAGGACAACGAGACCTCCTGGCGCATCTATGGGGTTCTTGTTCAATATCCAAGCGTCACCAAGAGTGCGTCTTGCCAGACTTCCGGGTTCCCAGAGTACGAGATCCACAAGTATTCGTACGACGTTTCTCACGAGCGCTAGGACCGTGAGGCATACCAAGAAATCCTGGATTCTGAACCTTGGGAGACTATGCTTCAGGGTCGCTTCCGAGTGTTCTACTTCCATGAGCGAGAGCTACTCTCCGCGAAAGCGCTCAGGCTGATGGTGGACGTCGTGGACGCCGTGTACAAGCACGCACAGGCAATCTGGGAGCGCGGGCACTGGGTGCCTATTCCGACTGAAGAACAAGCAGACACCACCATGGAATCTCAGCGGAAGTCGCGTCAAAACGCGCTACGCAGAGCGTACAAGACGCTCGTCGAGCGCTCGCGCAATACCCCTGGGTTCATCCCGTCGTTGTGGCACGAACCGGGTCTCTGGAAGTTCCCGGACATGTGCTGCTACTGGATTTGGGGGGATCCCAGGACCAAGAAACTCGGGGGAGCTAAGTGCAAGGACTTAGACGTCCGGCTGGCGACGTTGGACATTCGTGAGCGCCACATCAAGCCCCTGGCCATCCGCAAGCTCAACCCGCTGTCTCTCAAGCACTCGTGGGAGTCAAGGTCACCTCCAAATCCCGAGAACCACCTGAATTTCACATGTCGTAGCGTAACTCTCCATAATACCCAGGATTTCATCTCAATCTCAATGTCTTCCCCAGAAATTCATCATTTTCTGACTTGTTCTCTGGGTCATCCAACTTCGTTTACTGTTTCCATGTCCTTGTAAAGCTCACCGCCTTCATCTTCCTCCTCACACAATGCCAAAGCCTCAGCAGTATCACCTTCTCCATAATCAAATCAAATCACATTCACGTTTTCCGTCTCCAATATTCACACATTCCGTCGATTTTCCCCAGAGTATCACAGTGTCACTCTGGGTTTCCCCTGAGTATCAATGGGTCAGTGTCACCCCAGAGTGCTAGACTCCTGGGTGATCATCTCCAGCTTGCATGACCTGGAAACGGGCTCGCGCTCTTGCGCCTTGATTGAATTCGTAGAGCAGGGCACCACAGTTGCGCTTCGACACAGGCAGCCACTCAGTCTCGTCATACCCCTTCCACTTCACAAGGTACTCACGAATTCGTCTCGCTGTCCGAGTTCGTTTAGTCCATCGCAAATCCAGGATTCACTCCACTTCATACTCGTCGTTTGCAGTGTCGGGCTCCCAGCTATCTTCAGGCAACAGCGCCGCATCAAAGTCATCATCCTCATCCACGTCGATCTCCACAGTGGGCCGCTTCGGGAATAGTGCTCTGGGTTTCAAACGGCTCACGTGTACCCAGGGATTCACGCGATATCCTGTGTTCTCGACCCTGAGTTTCACGCGGAAGTTGACATGGATTTCCTGAATTCTGAAGGGGCCATGCCACATGTAAGCCAGTTTGTGGCTCAGCCCGGGCTGACCTTTGGGTATATACAGCCACACAGCATCACCGGCTGCGAATCCTGCCTTCAGTCGTTCGGACAGCTCTATCCACTTCCTGGTTTGTTCGGCAGAACGCGCGCGCTTGGCCTTCTTCTGAAGATCCTCAGCGCAAGCTTGTGCATAACTATAGTCACACTGTAGCTTCCCGCGCCACTCGTACACAGTACGCTCCTGAATACTCGAGGGCCTGGGTCCTAACATTGCAGACACCGTGCCGTGTGCGTCCCAGCCGTGCACCAGAAAAAACGGAGCGTCCAGGCGAGTGGCATCGAACGATGTATTCAGGGCAAACATCAGTCGCTCAGCATGGTTGTCCCAGTCACTCTGGTCCGCCTCAGCAATGTACGCTCGAATGCTGCGCACGACGGCCTGCACCGACCCCTCTTGTTGCCCGTTCGCCTGGGGGCGATACGCTAAAGTGGCCCGCTGCTTGCTACCCACAAGTTCACGGAAGCGCGTGAACACCTCACTCATGAACCTTGGGTCTTGGTCGTGCCTCAGCATCGAGCTCGCGCGGAATCTCCTGAAGACCTGCTCTTCGTACACTTCAGGGACATCTTGCGCCGTGGTGGAACTCATGGGTTTACACATGACGAATCCTGAGAACGCATCCTGAAAAAGCAGCAGGAACGTGTTCCCACGGTCCGACTTAGGCAAGTGTGTCACGAAATCCATAGACACAACTTCAAAAGGGCGCCTCGGTTCGATGTTCCCAGGGGAAGGCCCTGGATTCTCAGGACGCCCCTTGCCGCTGGCGCAATCCACACACTCTTTGACGAAAACTTCCACATCAGCGTACATGCCGTGCCAGTAGAACTCAGAGCGCAGCTTCTCGTACGTCCTCGTGATCCCCTGGTGCCCACCCTGAAAATCTTCGTGAGCGTAATGCAGGATATCCGGTCGCAGAACTTTCGGCACCACGAGTCTGAGTTCGTCAACCATGTCTCGGGGTCGATCTCTGGTAGACCGACTCAAGCGGTACAGGACTTCTCTGGAATCCAACACGAAATCATCAGCGACCTTCGCGAGTTTCCTGGCTTGAGCGTGCGACAGCTTCGTCGTTTCTCCTTTCAGGAAATCCTTGAGTTGCAGCAGGTGATCATCTTTGTCTTGGTGCACTTTGTTGCATCGCCAGCGTTCCGCCTGGTACTCCAGAGGTCCCATGGGTTCGCTTTGGGCTTCAATCTCCTGAGTTCGCGCTCGAGTCATTACTGCAAACACTCTGGCCACCACAGGCAACGGAGCACACTCAAGTCCAGGGATACCCAGAGTTTCGACACCCTGAGAATCACTCTCCTGAATTCCAACGTTCAATAACACCTTCGGCTTTACCAACTTCTCGTGAATCTTGGAAACCAACTGCAGAAGTGTTCGTTCGTCAGCATCCTCCACCTTCCAGGATTCACCACGCGCGAGGGTCTTAGACGTCAGGTAGTCTGCGGCCTGGTTAAACCCTCGCTTGACATGCACCAGCCGCACAGACTTGAAGTTCGTCTTCAGCACTTCATACTCGGCCAGCTTCCTCTGGAGATTTGGCTGATTGCAGTTGGTGAGACCCTGGGCTTGCTGGATGGCAATCCTGGAGCCCCCAACCACAACGATGTCCTGAATTCCACGCTCAATCGCCAGAGTGAGGCCCTTCAGAAGTCCATGATACTCAGCGTCATTCACAGTCACGTCCTCCAGGATGAATCCCTGGGCATGCAGGATTTCCTAACCAGGGACATGCCACAGAATACAGGCACAGCTCCCTTGTCGCGTGGAAGTCTTAGCGGCGCCATCGAAACTCAGAATACACCCCTCGTAGTCCGCTTCCAGCATTTCCATACTGATAGGCACTGGACGTTTAACGCGCCCCTTAGCTGGGATCAGGTTTTCAGCGATCTCATCCAAGTGTTCTGTGGGGGTAATACCCGCACCCAGAATTGCAGCCAAGCCGTCTTCATCCCGTTGAACTTTGCGTATCTCCAGGTTCCAGTGGGACAACTTCAGACCCCACTTCACCGTTCGACTGTCTGCCGACTGCGAGGTCAGCAACCACTTTAACACAGAATATCGCGCGTAGATGACGATCTTAGGGCTGCCCTCAACCAAAGTGCGAAACACCTCCAGGACTCTCAGGATAGCAATCACCTCCTTTTCCGCAATGTGATTCCGCAGCTCAGCGTCATTCAAGACGCGACCTGTGAATCGAACCGGGTGCACAATCCCGTCGTACTCCTGGCCCAACACAGCGGATGCTGCCCACGGGTTCGCGTGGGGAATAATCACGAAAGGCCTTGAACGATCCGGATGTCTGAGCAACGGAGTCGAAACAATCTTGCGCTTCAGGATTTCAAAGGCTTCCTGGGCTCTCGACAGGTCTTTCCTGAATTCCACTTATTCCTCCATCAGCTCGTACAGGACGGCCGCGATCACGGGTAGGTCCTCAATGAACTTGTTGTAGTAATTTAGACTCCCCATGAAACTCTGGACGCCTTTCAGTGTCGTCAGGAACGGCAAGTCTTGGACCCCCTTCGCGATTTTAGGGGTCGCTCGGATGCTCTCAGCACTAATCTCGTGAGAGAGGTACGGAATGGACGACTTCCCGAATTCGCTCTTGGGAGACACAGAGATATTCCAGTAACGTAGTCGGGAGAGCAGCGCGTTCAGATCCTGGCACAGCTGCTCCCCAGTAGGCGCACCGTGGGCGATGTCGTCGATATACGAGCTTCGACCCAGGACAGGGCCCATCTGAGAGGGAGCCGGGATGTTACGCTGAAAAACAGTCATCTCATCCGTCAACACTGAAAGTCGCGGTGCATTTTCACTTGAAACTCTGGGTCCCCCAGAGTTCAACCCCAAAAAGTCCAAGACATCTTGGTCGACCTCAGCTTCTTCCTCAGGGGAAAGTCGCAGAAATCCCCACAGACAGTCGTTGAGAACTGCCTGGTAGATCAGCGGCGCGTTCTTGAGGCCAAACGGCATCCTGACCCACTGGTAGTGCCCATAGGGACAGACGAACGCAGAGATCGACTTGGCTCTCTCGGTCATCTTGATAGCCCAGAAACCACTCGCCATGTCCAAGCTCATAAACCACATCGCCGACTCAAAGCCAATCAAAAGATCATCAATAAGCGGCAGCGGATAGTGTGAGAGCTTGATGAAGCCATTCACCACGCGATAGTCGATGCACATCCGGATGTCGACGCCACGATCACGATTGGAGATGCCCAGGGGGACGTAGAAGTCTCGATCAGCCCGTTCTCCAGAAGCTTCTTCAGAAGTTCATACACCTTAGTCCACAGGTGTGGTGCAATGGACCTTGGACGCTGGGCAACAGGTTTAGCGTCGCCTACACCCAGGTCACAAACCAATCCACGGGCAGGTGGGGGAGCTGCATTGCCGTCTCCCAAGAAGATCTTCCGATGATATTCCAGAATTCGCCTCACTTGGTCTTCCATCTCGGGCGTCGTTTTCCCGTGGACTCCAACATCTGCCTCCTCGACCTTGCACTATGGGTCAAGTCACGCATCTCAGGAAGCATAACCAACTGGTCACGCAATTGAGAGAGCAATTCACTTCCTTCACGTATGTAGACCGCAGGCTCGTAGTCGAGGTCCTCTGTCGAAAGCCGCATGTTGCGCTCATATTCCTGCTTCAGCTTCTCCAACGGCGTTCCCGGCATCCCTGAGATCGGGATATCCCAGTAATCTTCAACTGCACCCTGAGAATCGTCGTCATCCACATCGAATCCCATAGAATCACCTTCGTAGCCCCGCTGACCCTGAGAATCACTGCCAACTTCAACCTGTAAACTCTGGGTTTCACCGGCCGTATCATCTTCAGGACTCATGCACTCTGGCGTTCCAACAGTCTGTGAGGCAACATCGGTCACCGCATCCTTCAGAACGTCACCTAAGTCACTCGTATCAACAGCAACGTCTCGGAATTGAGGAGGGTCTTCAGGGGGCACCTCTTCAGTCTGAGTTGCAGCGTCTTCGGCGAAGTGCACGCGACGAGTCTTCGGTTTCCTGAGAATCGAGGCAAGCTGTGCCATGTCGGGGCCCTTTGCAGGTCGCGGCAGATTCTTCGAAGGACACTGATATTCTGGGGTCTCGACAAAGGGTGGCTCCAGCGCAGCCAGGCGTTCCGCACGAAGTCTGCCCTCACGCGACTGAACACTCCCCAGAATAAGAGTCTGCCACTCCCGGTACGCAAAAGAACCAGGGCGCACAAAGCGTCCGGCACGTGGGAAGAAGCCATACTCTACGGTTCGGGCGACCGGCGTTCTGTTGTGAATCCAGACGTCCTTGTCCGAGATGTTGACCACCTTCACAGCGACCGGCCAGGATCTCGCAGCATAAATCAGGTGCGTTACCCAGCGGTCACCTCGGCCTGTCCACACAGCTTCACGCTGCGGGTTCGTCGGTCCATACGAAATCCTAACCACCTTGGATTCCCCCACGGGCATGTCGTTACCCAGGCGATCTTCTGGAGTCCATCCACACATCATGATCGCCTCTTCATCCGGAAGTGTCACGAGACCTTCGCGAACACTGATCCTCACTCCCACTGCAAACATGAAACTCATACCCAGAAGTACTCGATCCCTTCGCCGATGTTAGCAATCCAGACATCCAGGAGATATATCACCCTCGAATCGAGAGTAATCTTCACCTGAGCACTGGCACCGATGTACGTCGGAACGCCTCCCATGCCAGACACCTTGGTTTGCTTGTGCTACTTGAGTGTGAGTCCGAGCTTACGCGCTAAGTCGAAGCTCACAATATTCACAGTCGCACCGGTATCCAGGTGAACTCTCGTCCGGCAGTCGTTCACAGCACCATGCACCATCGCCACATCACGTTTCTTTGGGTCAGGATCATTGTTTTCCCACCATCCGTGGCGCTCCCCAGGGTTCAGCTTGAATTCCACAATTTCTTCAGAGTTCACCGACCCAGAGTTCGCTTGTTCAGGATGCTGATTTTCAGGGGAAGTCATGAAATCCTGAGTCAAAATAGTCATGCATTGTTGGTTATTTTGGGTTCTTGTTCTCAGCTCCGGGCCTACATACACTAGAACACATAACTCTGGGGCATTCTTCAGCCCGGCGCGTACTGGGTCCCCGCCCAGCGGGCTTATTGGTTTGACGGACTCCCAGAGTTTGCTTCGCCATCCTGGAGTTTATCCAGGATTTGGCTCGGCATGTCCTTCAGTGCACCTTGGCGGGCGAGTTTCTTCACAGCTTCCAGTGTCTTCCAGTCTTCACACGGTTTCCCGAGATGCAGTTAGTTTGCCACAGTTCTCGCACGGTTGCGCGCGACACAAGTGAGTCGGATGACCCACTTCAAGGCAGCGATCACACTTCACGTCTTTCCAGCAGGTTTCCTCTGGGTGTCCCCACTTGCCGCACTTCTCGCAGAACTTGTCCCAATTCGGTTTTTCGCGGCGAGGGGAACGGAATCCTGAGTTCGCGTTCGGTCCTGGTTGGGCGTTCGGTGGACGCCATCCCATGTCATCCATCACGCGATAGACCTCGTTCGTCAGCGTCTGAGTCCACTCGGCACCTTTCATACTCGCCAGGCTCCCAGCGCTAGGCGTAGAAGCTTCTTCTCCAGAGATCTCACGAGTTGACCCTGAATTCGCGCTCGCACTTCGGGCTGAAACTCGGGGTTTGTCCGTGATTTCCTGGAAACGCGCGTGAATTTCAGGGTCTTCGTCCGACTCAGAGTCAGAGACAACGCCCCTAGTCACGTACGCACGTCCTTGTCGCTTCGGCTTGAAACGTCCCTGAGGAATGTTGTCGGCACGAAAGTCACGAACTCTGGGTGGCGGAGCATCATGGTCGCTGCGACTCCAGACATCTTCGTCCTGTTCCAGAGCGTACTCTAGATCAGCGATACTCCTGAATCTCTGGCCCTGCAGCGACGTCTTGAGGCGCGTGTCCCTGAGTTTCGTGATGAACCTCCAGATATGTTTCTCCAGGCACTTCAAAGACTTGCGAAAGTCAATGTCAGCTTTCCCAGCGGCGGTATACAGACGGTAGAAGAAATCCAGGGCCTCTTTGGGTTCTTCATCTCCATCGTGAAGTAGCGTTCAGAGTACGACGAGCGCGCTTTGCAGTACTTCTTTCTAAATGCAGACGCCAACTCCTTCCAGTCACGCTGAGTGTGTTTGGGCAACTGGTTGAACCAGTCACGCGCAGCTCCCGAGAGTTTCAACTTGAGTTCCTGAATTCGCATCTTCGTAGACCAACCTCCCTGAGCCGCCATGTTCGCAAAACGCTCCCACCAATGCACGCGTTCCCTGAGTGACGCCTTAGTATCGAACTCACCCAGAGTATTCGAGTTGATGTACGGTCTGAACGTCAGAAGCGTAGTGCCAGCTTGAGCCGTAGAGGCCTTCGTCAGGTTAACCCCAGGGTTCCCGTCCGAACTGTCATCCCAACTCTCAGAGGACGAGTCATCATCGCTGGAATCGGAGCTTGGATCTGAGTCCGAGGGTGGATTTACATCCTGACGCTTCTTCTTCTTCTGCTGGTGTTTCTTGGGTGCAGAGCGCTTGGAGCCTGTTTTAGAGTCCTGTGAGGCCTTAGAGGTCGCTGTTCTCCTGGGATCCGACGTCTTCCCCAGAGACACAGGCTCGAGCTTGACATCCTGCGTCACCTTGGTCTCCGTAGCGCCATGTCCTCGCTTGACGCGCGCGATTCTGCCGGAAGTGTCGGCGGAAGGCTGCGCGAGGGTTGCTCTTAGCTGGGAGGCGGCAACTTCGGAAGTGTTCTTCGGATCAGCTGTCTCCCCTCTGGCCTGCGACACTTGCGTTTCCACTGATTACTCCACTGGATTTCTGGGGTAGGGTTGCAACTTCAGGGTTCAGAGGCGCTGACGACCTCACATTTGTTGCCAAATCAGGGATAGCGGTTGCGCGTCGCGCTTGAACTTGGGCCGATTTTGCACGAAGGTCGCGCACTTGGCCGGCGTGGAAGCGCTGGATATTCTCGGAAGACTCCCGCTCTCGCTCTTTCTCCGCCTCAGGTTCTTGGACCTTCTGCTCCATAATTGACATTTGTTCCTTCCAACCGGCGTAGGTCTCGGAAACCCAGCGCGTTCTCCGAGTCGGCTTCGCGCTGTTGCCAGCGCTCGGCGTAGGCGGCATCCAGGCGCTCACGCTCAAGACGTACAGCTTCCGTGATACTCTGGGTCATCCCCTGAGTTTCAGTGGAACTCTGGGTCTGGCGAGCCTCCACGTCCTGCGCATGCCGTTCCGCTTCACCTCGGGCAATCTCAGCGTGGACCAAGCGATCCGTAAGTTCCTGGATCTGGCGACGCGCGTCCAGGTCACGTTGTTCCCTGAGGCGCTCGCGCTCCAAGGCATCCAGGCGTTCTCTGGCGAGAAACTCGCGTTGCTCCTGTTCCATGCGGGCCTGCCACTCCTGCTGTTGTCGCAAGACGTTCAGCTCGATTTGGGCGGGCCCAGACCTCGCGGACACGGACGAAACTGACCCAAGATTCCTGGATCCACTCGAGCGGCTCGACGCAGCTGATTTTCTGAATTTCGTCGAGCGTCGAGAGCGCACCTCGCTCTTAGAGCTCTGGTGTTGACTCCGCTCATCGGCGCTGACATCCCTTGGACCACCAAATCCGGAAATCGGGGCAGCAACCCTGAGTTTCGGCTCGGAAGTTGTGGCTGAAATCCTGGGGAGACCGGCCTTCCTGGGTGCGATCTCTGGGTCAGAGTGCACCGACGATGCCATCTCAACGTCATCTTTGTCGACTGACACAAGACGCGACGGAATGACTGTCCGGGTGACCTGAAATCCAATATCACCGGCAGCTGCGAAGCCACCGGCACTCTGGGCCACAAGCGCTAGAGCTCCAACTCGTTGTCCAAGCGACATCATCGACGAAGATGAAGAGCTACCATAAGACGTTTGAACGCCCGAGGCAGTACTCTCATCCGAAGCGCGCGAGGTACCGATGACACTTGACACCGCGCCTGGGGTAGCGTCCTTGGCTTCCGCCTCCAGCGAATCACGTCCATTGGACATGGAATTCAGGGGAGTGGAATTCTGAAGCGAGGCACCAGTCAAAGCCTTGTACGCTGGAAGAGAGGACAGCGACGGTGTAGACAGCGCGGATGGCGTTGGCGGGACTTGCGGACGAGGCGGTCCATGCTGAGTGCGCTTGGATCGCGGCTCACCATCACTCGACCCTCGTGGGCTCCGTGAAATTCTGAGTCCAGCGACTCTGAATCTCAGGACAAACTGTCTGCCCAGTAGATCCGCATCGTAGTCCGTCATCAATAGATCACCGTCTCCGTCTTCCTTATGGTAGTCCAGTCTTGGTGCTTGCTCTTGGGCGCTTGGTGCGGTGTGATCTTCAGAGTTTACCTTGAAAGGCACGCCAGCTATCACAAATCTCCACTCGACCAGTTCCACGGCGATGGAATTCTGGGTTTCCTCCATGACATAGCGCACCAGACTTTCTGGAATTCTGGAAGCACGCGTCGAAGACCAGCCAGGGATCAAGTTGACAAACTCAAATCCGGCTTTGAAGAACAGAGTCTGCAGAATGGCGATGCACTCACGTGTGGTCATGATGCTCTGGGGAATCGTAGTCGCCATGAGATCCTGGGCAGTTCTGACGCCCCACCGGGCGAGGTGAAACTCCGCGATCCAGGCCTCATCTTGGTTCGTCAGAGACAAATGCCACTTGAAGTAGTCCCCTGTTGCGTATGCGGTCGCGAAGTACGAGTTAGCGTCCGGTTTCGGAGTCGGCCACTCATAGACGACACTTGGGGGCGTCACCTTCCAAGGATTCACCTCTTCCCAGCGTCGAACTTCACGTCGGACGTACAGCACCATGTTATCAGTGTCCAACGCCGCTGCTCCCGATTCCGGAGCAGGCGCAGCAGCTTCCCGGATGTCGCTTTCAGGCGTTTTCCTGGGTGCCGCTTGCGAGCTTGGCGCTGAAACTCTGGGTTCAGGTGGTGCGAACCCAGAATTCACCTTGGAACTCTGAGTCTTCGCCTCCTCCTTCGCTCGCACGGGCTCCGACTTCACTTCCACATCAGACTCGTCCGAAGATGAGACCAAGTCAATCACCTCCGGGGGATCAACCGCATTGGCGCCTCCCTCAGACGCCTGAGCACCACCCTCGCGGGTGTGCTCCTCTGGGACTTCAGGCATCCGCGACCCAGAATTCACCTCCGTCGAACCTTGGAACTCAGGGGAAACTGCTTCCTCCTGGGTTTGCGATCCAGCAGCAGGCTGATCTTGAACTGCAGACGCCTCGACGTCCCCACCTTGCACTGCCTCGCTCTCGCGAGCAGCCTTCTTCGCCTTCCGAGCGTCGCGGACGACTGTTTCCAGGTCCTTGTGCTCCTCAGGCTCCATACCATGAACACGACGCGACTGACGTGACGCCTCACCGCGTCCTCCGTCACCGCGTCCACTCTTCTTCGCCCCTCGTCCTCCAGCCATCTTGGTAGCTTGAAGTTGACGGGCACTCAGCACTTCTTCAACACTTGATTCCGGCGAAACCCTCGACAATCGAATCCGGGCACGCGCACCAGCTGAGGCGAGGCCGATGAAACCTTTGTCGCCCAGGGGGTTCGTATAGCGCAGCCCAAGACTGTTCCCCAGGGTGTAGACCCAGAGAATCGACATGAGAGTCAACAGCAAGGAGATAGACCGTGAGATTCGTAGCCGCAAAGCTTTAAACCCTGAGAATCACACGCCTTGGTTGGCGTGGGTACCTTGTGTAATCCCTGTCGGCTTGTTTGTCTTCGACGGAACGGCACTCCACCGGTTGTAAATGTAGCCTCGAAGTAGTGCGGGAGCGCACGTCTACTTCAGAACGCACCTCCACACCAAAAGGCAAACCCAGAGAATCAGATCCCCTGAAACCCAGAATATCACGAATTCAGGGTCCAGGATTTCACTCAACTCTGGGACTTGGAACTCAGAAGACACCTTACCCAAATGCCCTCCTAGCTCGATAAAACCAACAAATACAGAGTATACAAACACTACAACTAGCCCTCACTTATTCTTTTGGACCCTTGGACGGTGGGTCACGCACACACTAGGCTCACTCGAGTCTGAAATTCAGGGGCCTAGCTCCCCTGAGACTCACACAAACGCGCACCACCTCCAATAAAAGAGGAAATACAATCACTATCAGTTACCTTCCCTTCACACAAACAGTCAATACAAAATCCTGGAGGCAACTACCTAGCACCCCAGAATACCCTCTGGAATAATATGAAATGGGCTACCACGAGCACAGCAAGCGACCCAACTAGGATATGGAATAGATGGATCACTCCAGGAAGCTCAAATCCGTCGCTGGTCCCCACCTAACTGGACTTGAGTTGGTGGAGTCCACACAGACGGCTGTCCTTCGCCGTTGATGCACCCTTAGCGTCCCGCGGTCGTAGTATCGGGTCCTCCGGATTTCCGTCGGCAGGCTTGGCCGAAGTCACTTGCGCAGTACAGGGAAAATTGAACTCTGTTTGGTTTTTATCAGCTACTTCTCTCTCTCTCTCTCTCTCTCTCTCTCTCTCTCTCTCTCTCTCTCTCTCTCTCTCTCTCTCTCTCTCTCTCTCTCTTCTTCGGGCAAATATCTTCTGTTCACTATGCTTGGGGTTCTTGTCTCGAGTATACCTTGGGTTCAGTGGTCCAAACTTGCGATCGGCTTGCGAATCCATTGTCGCACGGCGTCGAAAGTGCCAATTGTGGGTCCTTAGACTTGGTTTAGTATGGTGCAGGACTCCCTCTCGACTCCTCGAAAGTATCCAGTCTATGCATCCATGACGGTTCTTCAAGGTCACGCATCACTTTGATTGCAGACTGACTTCGAACTGACTCGAATCCCTGAAAACCAGGTGACACTCAGGGCCATCTTCTGAAATCCTGGGAATTATGAGGAATCTTGGGGAACGGTGGGGATTCTTGGGTGTTGGCTCGGGAAACACCTCAGTTCAGTATAGTGAGTCTGGATTTATGGTCCAAACCAGAGAATCATCTTTGGAACTCTGGGTCACCTGCACTCAGGGAGGTGAACTCTGTGTCATCGTGCGGCACTCTGGGTTTCCGTGCAGCACTCTGGGTAACAAGTCTGCTGTATTGCAGGCTCGTGTGTATCTCCACAAAGCCACACTTTTAGCGGGTTTAGCGGCCTCCTGCGCATGATCATGGTAGTAGTGGGTTGATTCTCAGGGTAATTTGATCCTCTGGGGCACTCTGAGCCACATGCTACCGAGCCTTCAGGTACTGTCATCGAGGTTCCATCCGAAGTTTCGCCTTCGGCGGCGACTTCCATTCTTCCGCCAGTCTCGTCTGGTACAGCCGGCGTTGGCCGTGCCCCTCGAGAATCGGTTGCTGGGGTCACCGAGGGCTCTGGCGGCCCGCCAGACCGTTCGCCTAACGGTGAGTCGCCTCATGAGTCCGAGACCTCCGAGGACCGCGAAGCGTTGTTCCTGGAGATGTTCGGCCCCGACGAAAGAGAGGAAACCTCGGTGGCGCAACCTGTCGCTCCTTCGGAGGCTCCTTCTCCCCTGGCTGCTGCGACCAGGGTTCCTGTAGCCTCACAAGCGGCCACCGTGTCACTCCCGAGTCGACTCCACACTCGGTCGGCCTCTGTTCACGCTCGGGCGATGGTAACAGTAACGGTGACAGCTTCACCGAGGACTGGACCTGCCTCGATTGCCCCAGCCGTGGTTGACGCTTCTGATGTAGCTCCTGGATCCCGTTAGCTCAGTGGTCTTGCTACCATGTTCCTGGAGCCGGGTTTCACGGCACCCGGGGCGTCGGAGTGCTGGCATCTTATCCAAAACGCCAGTGTCCCCCTCGTCTTTGAGGACGACTTGGTCGCCCCCAGTTCAGTGGATGGGATCGTGGAGTTTGGCTTGTGGACGGATCCTGCTCACCCCTTCCAAGCGTTGCGCCAGCTTTTCCCAGATGAGCCTTGTTTGATCGATACGACGGGTTTTCCATCCTCGGTGGCTATATCCCGTCGTGCAACTGGTCGAGCTCTACTCGTTCGCCTACGGCGGCAGTTCCAGGGGTACTCCTGCCACTCCACCGAGAGGGGCGACCTTGGTTTCGCCTTGTGGGAGCGTCGCCACTGGATTAGGGGTAAAGCCGTCAGGGCGTATATCGATAACCTCGCCAGAGCCCTCGGTCAGCGCAATGTGCAAGTCCTAGCGCTTCGACAAGCGTGGTCCAAGTACCACCGAGATCGCAGTTATCGTGCAGACCGATTCCGAGACCAGATGCTCCACAGGGTGTGGAATGGGGCCATTACGTACGACAGACAGCCTCAACAACACCGCACCGAGGTTTTGCTGGAGCCGTCGTACCTGCAATACTCGTTCGAGGTGATGGAGTGGGTCCCCACTACCGACGACTGGGTCTCCGAGGTGGCGGACGTGGACGCCCGCGAGCCGTGGCGTAACTGTTGGTTCCAAGCGCCGGCAGACCACCCCTACAACACGGCTTTCGCCCCTTGCAACGACGTCCCGTTGTTTGTCCCCAACGGGTCGACTCGGGAGACCGTGGCGTCGTCGGTCGTGGTTGAATCTTCTCTGCGGACTTCGATGGTAGTCGCTCCATGGGTGGCCGAGTTCGCAAACGCTCGTCGTTCTCGCTCTCTAAGCCCCGATGAGGAGACGAAGGAGTCGGGTGAAGCTTCTTCCGCCGCCGGGTCAAGTCTGGGCATGTTGGCTCAGGCTGTGATGGAGATTTAGCCTTGTTAGGCCCCGCTCCAGCTTCACCGTTTCGTGCACGTTCTTTTCCAATGTCGACCGAGGTTCGTGGCGCTTTAGGCGACACTGCATGTGCTATCCCAATCCAAAATAACGTCAAGTTGCTCGTTCCATTTCATAAACTTTCTCTCGTCAACGCACATCGCATTCAATACTCGGTCGCGGTTTCCAGAGCCTCCTCTCTGCCCTCGACCGCTGTGGCTGCCTCAAACGAGGCTTGGTTCGTAGCTGCGGCAGCCGGTCTTCGTCTTGTCTCCCTGCAAGAAGATCGTGCTTATGCTCGTTGAAGACCGGACTTGATTCGCGGAAGATCGGGCATACTTACGCTAGCCCCGTTGCGGGTATGTTTTCGCATGACAACCCAATTTTGACAACTGTACACCCGGTCCGCTGCGGGTATCCGGCGTCGACAGCTTGCATACCCATTTCACCATCAACTCCATACTCAACCACGAAGTCGAGCGCACTTGTTCGTGCTACTTCCATGGCCATCACTGCGTCCGAAGCTTCGGTCGCCCTCCCATTTGCTTTATCATCACTTGTTTCGTCTGTTGAGTGTTTGACCGAGGCTTGCTTGCGTCTTCCGTTGTTCCTGGCTCCATTCCGATATCTCCATTCCCTCGTGACTCGTTCACTTAACACGTAACATGCAGATTCCAGTAACTTTCTTCGTCTGTCACTGCGAGCAGGATAGCCCTCGCAGGCAGTTCAATCATCATCTCCAGTAGCCTCGTTCGTCTGACATCGCGGGCTGGATAGCCCCCGCGAGCAGTTCAATCCTCGTTGGGGCGCAGAATTACTCCTCGTCGGCCACCTGGACCATTTGCAAACGTCGGTCGCTTCGCTTCCGGCGTAGGTAATTGTACAGGAGGCCACCGCACGAGAGATTGGACGCTGGTTCCCATGTCGGCTCGTCATAGCCGACCCACTTCACCTTGAACTCTCGGACGGTCCGGTGAGTGCTCGTTGACAACAGTGTCCGGTCATCGAGGATAGCCTCGACTTCATACTCGCCGTCCAGGCGGTCCGGCTCAAAACTGTCTTCAGACAGTAATTCCTCGTCGAAGTCAAGACGAGTGTCTTTGGTGACCTCACGAGCCAAACGAACCCTCGGTCGGCCTTCGAACTCGTCCACTGAGTTGAGTCGTGAAACATGCACCACCGGGTAGAACCGGTATCCACTTCGGTCGGATAATTCCAACTCATACGCAAATTCGTCGACCTTCTTCTTCACGCGGAACGGTCCGTGCCACCGATGGGCTAGTTTCTTGGTCAGTCCTGGCCGAGCCCGCCCCAAGTACAGCCACACTCTGCTCCAGAGCTGCAAAGAAAACCTCGTTGTCGTCACTGCAGCTCTACTATGGTCAGGGGAACTCGGTGCCCGGTCGACCGAGGTTCTATTCTCATTGACGCCTGCCATAGCTTCCTTCTCCTTCCTGCCAAGCGATGCATTGTGCTCTTCAGCTCTCCGAGCCTTTTCCGCGCCTTGGTACTCCTTGGCCATCCTCAGGGCGATTTCCTGCTGTCGGTTGACCTCTCGGTGCCATGCTAGCGCGTCAGTTTGGCTACCGAAGCCTCGTTTGAGTGACGAGGACATTGCCTTGAGCGTCGAGTGTGCATCCCACCCATGAACGAGGTAAAATGGAGTTTCCTTCCTCGTCGTATCACGGGAGTTATTGATGGCGAAGATCAGTCTTTCGGCGATCTCGTCCCAATCCTGCTGTAATGGGTCTTCAGCGTATACGCGGACTGACTGCATGATCGTCTTCACCGATCTCTCGTGCTGGCCGTTGGCCTGCGGGCGGTAGCTCAGGGTCGCTCTCGACCGAGACTGCATCATTTCCGCGAAGGCTTGGAAGACCTCGCTCATAAATCGAGGATCTCGGCCATGACGGATCAAGGACGGTGCTCCAAAACGTCGGTAGACACACTCCTCGAAAGCTTGCGCAACGAATAAGGTGGTAGTGTCAGACATGGCTTTGCCCATCACGAATCCCGTGAATGAGCATTGGAATAGCAGGAGAGCCGTGTTGCCACGGCGACTCTTCGGTAGCGGTATCACGAATTCCATAGAGACTAGTTGGAAGGGTCTCTCGGCTAGGATGTTCCCTGGCGAGTACCCGCGGAACTGAGGTCGGCTCTTACTTGAACTGCAGTCAGGGCACGACTTGACGTGTTTCTCCACATCCGCATACTGGCCGATCCAGTAATAGTCTCTCGCCGCTCGATGTAGCGTACGGATAATACCTTGATGACCGCCTTCGAGTGAGTCATGACACCTCTTGGATCATCGTTGTGGGCACCACGAGTCTCATCTTCAACTCGGCTTGCTCGTCGTCACTTGAACGACGGCTCGTTCTTGTGTACTATAGCACATCGTCCTCGCTAAACACAAATTGGCCCGCCATTTTTCATGCATCTCGTGCTGCTCTGTATCCAATCTTCGCATCATCTCCCCGGAGCACTGCCTTCAGATTCGACCACCGTAACTCTTCATCTTGAGGGGAGACGATTTTCCTTCGGCGTTCTTCCTGTACTACCAGCGGGTCAATGTCTTCTGCGTTCGGTGGGGCTGGTGACGTCTCGGCACGCAGCAGTGAAGCTTCTGCTTCATTCTGAGACTCGTTCGGCACACGATTGCTTGTACTCGGTGAGATGCGTCTCCTTGATCGGTGACCGGGACTTCATCTGCAAACCGGACGTGTTTCTCCTTTGCTCTCGTTTGACGTCTGGTCATCACAGCTACATGTCCGGGTTCAGTCTCGTTCTGCCGTCAGCGGTCGGTTTCTCTTCGCACAAAATCGAAAAAATTCTTGCTACGAGGTTTGGCAGAAGTTACCACGGCCCATACTGTGTTGGTCGAGGGTATGTCCTCGACGACGCAATCGTCAGCAGCCTCGTAGATGACTTCAGCGATACGGTTCAGCTTCATCAGCTCTAATACTCGGTCGTCCGACGATACCACCGTAGACTCCTTGCACTCGAGAGTCTCGCTTGCCAGAGAGTTGGCCGCAGCGTTAAACTCTCTCACCACATGCAGGTACTTCACCGACCGAAGCTTGGCCGTGAGTTCTTGGTGGTGGCTAAGTTGTTGCAGCAATGACTCCTTCCGACAGGCTATCACCCCTAGGGCTTGCTGGATCGCGAGCCACGAGTCGCCAACGACAACTAGATCGTCGGCTCCATGCTGTAATGCAGCAGAGACGCCGTTGTTCATCCCGGTGTACTCAGCGAGGTTGACCGTGGTGTTCTCGAGGTAGGCGCTCGCAGCAAGCACTATTGTCCACTCTGGTAGCTTCCATAGTATCCGCGAGCAACTGCCGTATCCACCGTTCTTCTTGGTCTTCGCAGACCCGTCAAACGACATAACGAAACCTCGGTAGGACCGCGGTAGGCGTGCGTAGTGCAGATGCGGGTCCAAACGAGCAGTTGGTGACCGTCGTGTCCGGGGTTTGACCAACGCCAGTGACTTATCCAAGTCAACGAAGTTCGTCAAGTCGGCTTGAAGTAGCTGAGCAAACGAACAGTCGGTTTCTTTGACTCGTTCGACCAACAGGTGCCACGGCGACAGCAAGACGGCGAACTGGGTAGCCCGGCCGAACAACGTCTTGGACTTGTGGACCCAGTCGAGTGTCAAAAACCGAGTGTAGACCCGGATTCGCTGTCCAACGAGTTGAGTATAACACACCTTCAGTATCAGCAGAAGCGCGATGACCTCTTTCTCGGCCGGGTGATAATTCATCTCAGCATCCTTCAAAACCCGTCCGCAAAAGCGAACGGGGTGTAGTTTGCCCTCGTGCTCTTGCATCAACGTGGAACTTAGAGCCCACTCGTTGGCGAACAACATGACATACACTTCCTTCTTCCGGTCAAAGTGTCGTAGTATCGGTGCTGCCGAAACCTTCTGTTGGAGCATCGCGAAGCTGTGCTTGGCCGCGATGAGGTCACCCCCGGGCTGGAAGTCCTCGTCCTTAAGCTGGTACAGCGCTGCTCCATAGACCGCGAAGTCTTGGATGAAGCGACTGTAATAGTTGAGTGCCCCAAGGAAGGACTGCATTCCTTTCCTCGTTGACGGGAACGGAACTCGGTCACCCCAGCCAGCTTCTTAGCGTCCGGTCGGATACCTTCTGCCGAGACTTCGTGGGACAAGAAGTCTACCTTGGACTGCACAAAGATACTCTTCGTAACGCTGATACTAATACGGCACTCTTCAAACAGTGCCAGCAATCGGTCTAGCGTCGCCAAGCACGACTCGAAAGTCTCGGCACCGAAACAGATATCATCCACGAATGATCGGCGACTGAATACTGGTGTCAATGAGGAGTCATCGGGCTCCCCGTTGGCGGACATGTCGGTAATAGGGCTGTTGACTAGTTCGGCTACAGCTCCCTTACCAAGCGAGTTATCTCGGTCGGCCTCGAACTTGGTCCGGAATGGCTTTGCCGTGCCAGTCGAAGCCTCATTCACCCCAGCATGAGCTTCCTTGTCATATTCTTCAGCTAGACGCATGCGCTCCGAGAATTTAAACCACCCTCCCTTCGGTTGGACGCAGCCCCTAAGCGCGTTGTCAATCATGCGTTGATAGGTCATCTGTGCGTTCTTCAGGCCGAAAGGCATACGCAACCATTCGAAGTGCCCCAGAGCGCAGACGAAAGCAGAGATCTTCCGAGCTCGTTCGGTCATCATAATGGCCCAGAAGCCGCTAGCGGCGTCAAGCGAGCAAAACCACAAGTACGCCTCCATGTCCGTCAGCAAGTCATCGACCAGGGGCATGGGGTACTCCATAATCTCGGTGATCGCATTAACGAGTTTGTAGTCGATACACAGGCGGATATCCACCCCATTCTTCTTCAGGAAGATGACGATTGGCGACGCCCATGGGCTGTCCGAGAAGTCGATAAGCCCGGTCGTCAGCAGACCTTTCAGCAATTCGTACAGCTTACCGACGAAGCGAAGCGGGGTCCGCCGAGCCTTCTGCTTGA